GATGAAGAAATTCATTTCATTTTCAAAAATGATAATAACAACGATGATAATTTTTGAATAAATTCACAAAATAACTTCAGTACTTAAGAAATGAATCAATGAAAATTTATTGATAATAATGATGATGATTTTGATGATGATCATCATAATGGTTTGATTTCTATAACAATACAAACTTGACAAAAAAGTCGTTCAACAAAAAAAAAGAACTATTCACTGACATAATTTCATTATATTCATCATCATTATCATTAAGTTTGAATATGGAAAGAATTTTGAATGTCTACACAACAACAACAAAAAAGTAGAATTCTGAAAAATAAGAAAAACCATGAATTCTTCAAATATCTACAAACATCCTATTGTCTGGTGTGTGTGTGTGTGTTTTTTTTCTCGGTAACAAAATGATGAAAAGTTTCTCTTTAAAGTTATTCTTTTTGTTTGTTGGTTGAAGCATATAGAGTAACAACTGAAGATGAATCATACTTGAATCAAATATCATCATCATTGATGATGATGATTGTAGCTTTTCGGTTTTCATTTTTTGCTGAAGAATTTCCTAAGGGAAATCTTCTCTATCATTCGATTCGTATTCAGTGTAATACGATTGAATCAAGAAAAATAAAATTTTTGAAAAATAAAGTTTAAACAACAACACCAACAACAATTTTTTTTTTGTGGAAAACAATATGGCAAATGATAAGTAGAAACAAAAATTTTAACCACAAACTTCAGTTAATAAGAATATTCTTCAATAAACAAATAATAAAATGAAAGAATTTTTCATTTTTTTTAATAACTTAAACATTGAAAAATTGAAAAATGAATGAATGAATGAATCATCATTTGAAACGAGTTGAAAATTGGTAATTTAAAAAAATTACCAATTTTTCAAAAGTTTTTTGAAATTGAAAAGAAATTTCAAGATTTATTCTCTAAGAATCATCCATTAGTATCATTCACGAGTATTTTTTGATTGGGTTTTCATTGTAAGAAAAAACTCTTAAATTCTTATCAACTGAAAAGCAAAAGATAATCATAATCAAAGGAATCTCTAGAATCGTTCATTTGAAATTTAAATTCATAAACAAGAGAAGAAACCTTGATGATAATAATGATTATCCAACTTACTTATCATATGTTAAGAATTTCCAATTCAAAATGAGATTATTTTCAATTTATTATTGGTGACAAATAATGGTATATTTTTCATTTTTTTGGTTGAACTTAATCAAACAAATAACTGAATTGTGTGTGTTCAGATATTTCATTCCAATGAATAAATTATATGAAGAAAAAAAAAGAATCAAAAAATAAAAAAAAAATCCTACGGGCTTTCTTTGACCACAAACTTTAGACATACCAATATGTGTGTATCAACCAACCAACAAACCAAAAGGATGATAATGAAAGCAGAAAATTAATCGAAAAAACAACTGGATCATCAATTTGTTTCTCGAGAAAAAAAAACAGAAAAGAAAGAAATAAAAAACAAACGGGAACATAAACAATAACGGAAAATACAAAATAATTTTCCACTCGAGGCTAAAAAGTTGGTCACAATTTTTGTTTTAGTTGGTTACAATTTCATATTTCTAACATGGTTTTTTTTCATGGTACAATTGATGATGAGAAAAACAACAGAAATTATTATAAATGATTCCGGAAATCTATAATCATCATTATGGAAAAATCCAATAATTCTTTGAAATTTTTTTGGCAACAACAGCAACGAAAATAAACGACAAACAATCATCATCAGCATCATTAATAGTTTGTTTGTTTGTTTCGATATTCAATATTCATTTTTGAATGAGAAAAACGAAACGAAATCCACCAAAAATTCATGATTTTTTTGGGATTATTTTCTTGGTTTAAGCATTCATTATCATTAAACAAAAATGATGATGATGATCATTCAAAACGAATTTATTTCGAAATAATGATTTTAAGGAACCTTCCTTTTTTCATATTATAAATGGACCGTAAGAAGAAGAAAGAAAAAAATTCTGTAATTTGATCATAATTTTTCTTATGATTTTAGTTTTTTTAGTTAGTTATAGCGTAGTTACAGAGAGTGGAAAAATTCTGTTTTTGACAATCATCATTTTCAATGATGATGATGATGAACTCAATGAATAAATAAAGCAATTTTATTTTTCTGGTTCAAATGTAATCGGAATTGAACAAAATGAAGCCAGAGTAAAGTAAAAAAAAAAAGTTTCCAAAACATAAACCAAGATAGTTCATTCATAATTTATTAATTTGTTATGAGATTGAGATGAGGGGAGAGAAAAAAAGAAGATTTCTTAATTTCTTGGAATGTTTTTTGAAGAAAAAAACAAGATGAAAAAAAATCAAATTTCAATAATTCTTTGCTGTTACCTCATTGCATTAAAGGTGATTTTTTTCGAAGAAATTTTCAATTCAAATAAACATTAATTAGATGAAAACCGGACAAAAAAAACAACGAAACACTTTTTTGAACTTATTATGGATGTTTTCAAACAACACACAAACATTAATAAAATTTGGAAAAATTTTCTTTTTTCCCCGAGATGATGATGATAAAGATGATGGTGGTAATGATTTTATTTTTTTAAATGTCAATTTTAAATGAACATAAATTCTGAATTTGTTGCGGCTGATGTGTGCGTATGTTTGCAAATGGATTCTTTATTTGATCTGATTTTTTTCTGGTTAAACAGATCGGTTTGTTTGTTATTTTTCCCGCATATTATGGCCAGAATCAAACCAATGCAGCAACATTTTGATAGTAGCATTAAGATTAGTGTGAAAAAATTCTAACCGGTAAAATGCAAGAATCTAAAATGATAGTGGTAGTTTTAGCTTTTATTACAAGAGAATTTGCGCCGAATCTGAAACAAGAAGAAAATTTTTATTTTTTGAATTCCAAGAAATTCGATCCATGGAAAAAAATGAAAAGACAAAATTTCAAAACTGTTTCATTTTTTTGTTATGAATCAAAGAAAAAATTGATAAATAACTAAATAAACTTCAAAATTGAAATTGTTCATTCATGAAAACATTGAAACTTTATACTTTTTGGATTCTGTTTATTTTTTTTCACACAACTGAAACACAATAAATAGACAATAATCGAAAAAAAGTTATTTCAATGAATAGAAATTTGAAGAGGATTCTTCATGGAAAAAGATTAATTTTGTTTACTTTTTTCTCAATCGATTTTTGATTTGAAAAATCATTTTCTCAATAAAAATCAATCAATTAATCATTTAATTACAGTTTAAACAATGAAAATCTTTGTTGTTGTTGTTTTTACATTTCATAATCAATACTTTTTCTGCAAAAAATCTTTTGATAAAAAAGAAAAATTTATCAAAAACAGCCAGAGAATTTCATAATCATCAAAATCTTGATAGTTTTTCTTTTGATTCGACATTGTAGCATTGAGAAAATTTGACTAAATCCTATCTAATCGATCTAAAAGAAAATTGAAGGAAAAATAATATACATTGAAACTTTGTGAATGTATAAATTGTTTTCAATTTGTCCTTTGTCATTTATTATTGAAATATAAAAGTTAAATATTGAAAAAATTGCAATTGAAAGAGATAAATTAATTGTTAATCAAGGTTACAAGAAGGATATGTACTTTTGTATAACCTTAATATTTTCAAAGGAGAATTTTCCTATCTAGAATTTTCTCACTTCCTTAGCCTAGAAGAAAATAAATCTTGTTATTCAATTCAATTTCAAGAAAATTGTTTCGGAAACATCTTTTTCGATTAGAATTGAATAAGGAACGTGAAAAAAAACAAAAGATTCTTCATCAGTCAATTTAATTCATAGTGTTAAATATGTGTAGGAAAATTTGAATTGATGCATCCATTCATGTTATGCAAATTTGATTGATTGATGAGAATGAAAAATTTCCAAATGACTAAATGTAATGATAAATTGTAAAGAAAATTATCAAGATAAAAAAAAGAAGAATCAATCAATCGATCAATCAACCACAACTATAGTGTATAGTACAATCTTTAATTTACAAATTATAATGATAGAAAAGAAAAAATTTTGTACATTTTCAAATCATGTGATGAATTTTCACCTTACTAATGATGATTAAGTATTGATTATTATCATGTGAATTACATGTGAATTTCAGAAAAAGATTCGGAGAAAAAAAAAGATACAGATTCTTATTTTTTTTAAATTGAATCAGTTTTTTTTCTTGGTTATAACATAGGACATTTTTTTCCTTTACATTTGTTATGATGATGCAAAACATTTTTCATTACATCAAAATGAAAAAGAAGAAAAAATTAACAATCATCATCATTATTATCATCGAAAATTGATGCCTTTATATTTTTTTGCTGTTATTTTGGTTTCGATTATCATCATCATTATTATCAAATAGCTTGTGTCCATGAGAAAAGAGTCAAAAGTGGATTCGATGGATAAATAGAGAGAGAGAGAAAGGAAATGATAATTTATAATGATGAATGAATGAATGAATGAAAAATGCATTACATTGACAAAAAAATAAATAAGAAAGTAATAATAGTAAATGACAGTAAGAAAAATATTTTTCATGTTTTCATTCGTTTTGGAAATTTTTTCTTCATGATTATCAACAACAACAAAGATATTTATTTTTTTTGTGTGTTTAGTTTTTATTCTTTAACCCGGTTCTTTTCTTTGTTTAGGTTTCCCTCTTTATTTTTTTCCCCATCTTATCGTTTGAGTCCATAAGGACTCTTATTCGGAAAATAAGAAACAAAACGTGAAAAGATAAATGTTTTAAGGAAAGAAACCACAAAAAAATCCATATTTTCTTCGTATATGTTTACATTTGTAGTTTGTCGTTTCTTTTTTTATTTTTATCTGAATCCGATTTGAATTGATAATTTTTTTTGGTTGAAAAAATTTACGCATCAAGATAATATTGATGTTAATCGTAATCAAATGTGTGATATATGATTCATGTCTTTAACACCAAAAACCAAATGAATGGGTTTTCATTTTCATCATTTTATCATCATCATCATAATCATTTTTTTGTTTGTTTGAAATTGAATCACAAAGATTTGATCAATTAGAAACGATATAAGGAATTGAAATTGTCTGGAGACAACAACATTTGATGCCAATCAATCGATGAAATCAATTGCATTCTCAAACTGAACATCATTGTGTGTTTCACTAATCGAAAGAAAACAATTTTTGCGAATCAATCAACAAGTGGCCAAAAAAAAGAAAAGAAGAAAATGGATATTGAAAAAAATTTAAACAATAATTTAATAATTGCCAATCATAATGCAATCGATAATGATATTGTTGAAGAAAAACATCAAAACAATGATCAAATTCAATCAACAGTTGAACAACGACAACAACAACAACAACATTTAAAAAAACATCGACGATTATATGCATGGATCAAAAGTCATCTATGGATTTTTCCATTACTTCTTAGTATGGTATTGTTTATGTTATGTATTATACCATATATTTTATCGATAAATTATAATACTGTTGATCCAATATTACCGTATATAAGTGATACTGGTGGTTTAGCACCTGGTGCTATCGTATTTTCACAGCTATTGGATTTTATGGCCATACTTAGTAAGTATCAATCTTATTGATGATATGATTTTGTCATTTTATTTGTTCAATTTAATTTTTTTCAAAATTTAGTATTCATATCATGCTGGATACGTTATAAACAGATAAAATTCTATTTGAATGAAAATTTTATGGATAAAAATCTTGATCACTTTAATTATCTACATCGTTTGAATAGACATTCATTTTGGTTGTCAATTATTACAAGTTTAGCTGCTATCGGTGTTGGAAATATTCGTACCACTGAATCTTTACCATTACATATGATTATGGCAATATCATTATTTTCAACAATATCTATTTATTGTTGTTATTGTACACATTTAGCACGAATATTATATCGAGAATTTAATATTGAATCAAAACCAATTACAATGATGTTCTGTACAATTATAACATTCATAGGATTTATAATAACTTGTACTTGTGAATTAATCAATCGTTATCAGGTTGGTAATGAAAATTTTCATAATAATGAATTTCGTATGCATTGGCCAGAAACGGATAAACAATCATATTATGTACATGTTACATGTACTACATTCGAATGGATTACAGTATTTTCATTGGCAATATTTGTTCTATGTATTTATCGTCGTTTTCGTATGATTGGTTCAAAATGATCATCAATATTTTAAATGATTTTCAAGAAAACTTTTATATCATTTTTTTTTCTTATTTTATATATTACAAATACTCTCTTTAGCTTTTATATTTTTTTTTTTTGTGACAATTATTTCTTTTGGGCAAATAATTTTCCAATTTTATTCAACTCAATTTTCAAACAAAACAAAAAAAAACCTTGATCTTTATTGACGGAATTTATATTAAGATATTTTATAATTTCATCGTACATTGATAATGTAATGATTAAAAAGTGATAATTTAAAAATATTATTAAATAACTTTTTTGTTTTGTTTTGTTTTGATCGTCATAATTTATGAACATGAAATTTGTTTGCAAACGAAAAGATCAAAAACCTTCAATGATTTTATATTGAAATTGTCGTCAACGGAAATGAATGATAAAACAGACAGACAAACAAACAAACAAACAAAACAGACACAAAATTGTCAATGACCACCAATTGAATTATTACCTCAAACACAAAATCTGTTAATTTTTTTTTTGCTAAACTTTTTTTAAAATGATCAAAATTTCCAATCGAGGACGACAAATTTATTAATAAAACGAACAAACAGCAAACAACATTCATTTGATCATTTGTACATTGAAAGAAGGTATAAGGAAAAAAATCAGCAACAGTATTCAACAAGTGTTTTTTTTCATTTGTTCATCATTATTTGTTGAATGATGAATGATGATTTAACAAAACAAATTTTGTTTCTTTTAAATAGTTATTATTAACAATTTATCGATCATATTAAATACATTTTTATTTTTCTTTTTTTTTTGGATACAAAATGAATCAAAATTCCATTAATAATAATAATGATCAACGACATAAAGAATCATCACCATCATCATCAATCAATAATAATAATGATTTTGATAAAAGTAAAAATATCATTGTGATTAAAAATGAAGATAATCATTCTTTAAAACAATCGAAAACTGAAAACATTATCCAATTCGACGACAATAATAAAATGAAACAATATTTATGGATTTTACCATTAATACCGGCTATACTTATACCAATCGATTGTATATTACCATATTATTTGGCCATCAAATCAAATCAGGTTGCACCAATATTTCCATATGTAAGTGATGCTGCAAGTTATTCACCGGCTGCAAATATTTTTTCACAAATAATGGATATAATTTGTATATCAGGTAAATTTGTTTTGTTCATTGAATCAATTTTATTTTTATATAATTTTATTTTTAATTTTTTTTCGTTACAAATTACAAAGTAACAATAGTCGGTTTGATACGATATAAACAGGTGAATTATTTGATCAATGAAATGATCAATAAACAAAATGATGAAATTAATTTAAAGATAATCAAATCATTACAAAAGTCAAATTTTATAACATTAATATCATCAATAATAGCATCATTTGGTGGTATTATGGTTGGAAATTTTCGTGAAAATGAATTATTTTGGCTACATATATTCGGTGCATTATCATTATTTTCTGGATTTGCAATATTTATGTTTGTACAAACATTTTTATGTTGGCATTGTTATAAACAACAGTTAATTAATTATAAAACCCTTCCAATCAGTATGATAATAATATGTATTATGCTTATATGTTTTTTACCACCATTTTTATATGTAACAATATATTCAGTATCAAAAATTGGTTTAGATCAATTTCTAAATGTTCAATATCGTTATTTTTGGCCTAAAAATGAAATTGCCTATGTTGAACATATTATTTCAACAATATTTGAATGGATATTGATCAATATTGCAAGTGTTTATTATTTTTTATTAGCATTTCAAATGAAAAAATTTGGTAAAACAAGATTGCGAACATTTTATTTGATATAATAATCTAGATTTTTTTAATCAATCGAAATGTATTTGGAAATTTAGTCTTTTCTTTTTGAACAAATAAAATTTAATTTAAAAAAACAAACAAAAAACTTCAAAAATCTAAAATCAATTTCAAATTTTTTTTATCTTTTGTTAAACACAATCATTCAAATCATTGATTGATTGATTGATTGATTGTTATTTGATGCATGCCTACAGAAAAAAATAGCATCATTGTTATCTCATCATCATAAACTTTTATGATCAGTTATAAATTGGTTTTAGACAAACAAACAAACAAAAAATTTATCGAAGAGATGCAATTTATTTTTTTTGATTTATTTAAGATTTCAAACATTTCACCAAACACAAAGTCCTATTCATATAGAACATATGCTCAGAAAATAAATTGAATGAATGAATGAAAAAAAAGGCTGGAACAAATTAATTGTATCGTTGGTCGTATGTGTACCCTGTCAAAACAAAAACAAAAACAAAAACAAAAATCGGATGTTTTTTGACAAATAAATAAATAAATATAAAACATCCAATTAGAAATTCATTCATTTTATTTGTTGAAATGATCATCATTGATCAACCAATTCTTTATATTTATGAAAAAATAATAATTTTTTTAAAAAAAAGTAAATCCTGAATAATAATTAAAATGTTTACGAATCGTTTATATTCGTTTTTTGGTCATATTCAACAACAATTTCAACCGAAATTGTTGAATAATAAAATAACAATTGGATCATTGAATCAACGATTAAAATTATTATCGACAACAACAGAATCAAAATATCGTTATTCATTTACAAATGGTGCAAATGATAAAATATCCAATGAACAACGAGATTTTTATGAAGAAAATGGTTATATTTTAATTAAAAAATTATTATCCGATAATGATATTGAACGTTATTGGTAAGTTCAGAATTTTTCTAAATATAACATTCAAACAAAAACCCAAACATAGATGATTAATTTGAATGTAATTGAAAAGGCAAAGATTTCAAGATCTGGCCACTGGAAAAGTCGAACCAAATCCATTATTATTACTTCAACGTGAATTAGCAACAGCTAAACAAGCTATACATGAACGTAATCTTTATAAAGTACAAGAACTTTATGCTGATGATGTTTTATTCGAATATTGTCGTCATCCATTAGTATTGGATATTGTTGAAGCATTTACTGGTGGACCAAATATTCTTGCCATTCATTCAATGTTGATTAATAAACCACCGGATGCTGGAACAAAATCATCTCGTCATCCGTTACATCAAGATCTACATTATTTTCCAATGCGACCTGCTGATCGTATTGTTGGTACATGGACAGCAATGGAAAAAATTACCAAAGAAAATGGTTGCCTTTCAGCAATACCTGGAACACATAAAGGTGAACATCTTGAACATGATTATCCCGAATGGGAGGTAAATAATTTAATTGAAAATATTTGAAAGAAATTCATTTTATTTCAATTCGAAACATGCACACTCATATGCAAACATTTAAATAGGGAGGTGTTAATAAATTATATTATGGAATCAAAGATATGAAAAATGTGGTCGGTGATCGTATACATATCGAAATGGAACGTGGTGATTGTCTATTCTTTCATCCATTACTAATTCATGGTTCGGGTATGAATCGTACGAAAGGTTTTCGTAAAGCAATATCATGCCATTTTGCATCATCAACCGATTGTCATTATATTGAGATTAAAGGTACTATACAAGAAAAATTGGCACAAGAAATTCTTGATGTTTATCATAGACGTGCACGTTCATTTATGGGAGGAGATTCTGATAACATGACTTATAAGGTTAGTAAATTGTATTCAAAAAGAGGAAAAAGTTTACAAAAAAAGCTTGAATGAAAATTTTTAACTGATTACAGGATTTATGGCGTAATCGTTCACGATTAGTACGTGGTGAGGATAAAATTGGTGCAACAACTTCTTAAAAAAAAGAACAACAACCAAGAGATGAAAAAACCCTGTATTAAAAAGTCATAATAAAAATCAAAACTATTTTTTTTAAACATGAGAATTTATTAAATAAAAAAAAATCTTGTTATTCTTAAAATGATTCTGTTGTCCAAAAAAATATTTGTATGATCATTTACATTAACATCAATGACATTTTTCCACAACAAAAGCGCAGCCAAAATATACGCACGAATTATCTTCGTCTTTTTTTTTGATGATAAAAACATTTTTACGTGTTAATGATGACCTTAGCAAACATAACAATATGATAAGGTCATCATCATTATCATTGAATGGAATCGTTTTTGGAAAAAAAAACTTTTTGCTAAAGTTAATTTGATCAACAAAAAAAAAAATTTGAATAGCTTGAGGAATTTTATGGGTTATTTTTTTTCGGTTCCGAAATTCTTGTCACGAATTATTCTCGCCAAAAAACTTTTTCTTTTTTTCATTCTCGATCAATAATGTGTTTGGTATCTGGATCAAAAAAAAAAAAAAAATCAAACCCGAAGCATTTTTCAAGATTCAAAAAACAAAAATGTCTCTATCCAAATAAAATGGACATGATTATTTCATCAATATCCCAAATGATTTCATTTGATTTTCGTATGAAAAGTTTTGGGAAAAAAAGGATTTTTCTTTCAGATTTGCAAAATCTAAAAACAAAATCAACAATCATTGATTTGGTATCCAAAATAAAACAAAAAATTCAACCTTCATTATAATAACCAGAGATAAAAATAAAATATTCAATCACGGATCACGTCAATTATTGTGTATGTGTGTGACATGTGTTGGCTGAAAATTCAAACTGAAAGAGGATAACCAAACAAATCTCAATGATAATGACAGCCGCGTGCTTGTGTCGATTATCATCTGATCAGGATGATGATGAAATTATCATCATTAGATTTTCACACCAAAAATAAAATCTATGGATATTTTTTCAATGTAAATCGATTCATTAGAGTAATCAAATGAAACAAACAAACAAATCGTTTTTCTTCGTAACCGGAAGAATTTTACTGTATTTTCTTTCTTCTTATATTCATTTTATATCAGGGATTATCAGGTTTCAAACGAAAAAGAACAAAACAGATTTATTCAACAACAACAACAAAAATCGACACACGTATACGATGTTGATAAGATTGATGAACATTGAAACACATCTTTCCTTTATATAATGGAATACAGTATGTCATGAACAACAACAACCAAAATACACTTGGTTAATGTTATTTGATGATGCGGTGGTTCATTTAAATTGATAGCACACACACACACAAAGTGTTTAAAACAGTTTTTTTTATAAAAAACGGATTTTGTTAAATTTTTTTTTGGGGAAATTTCAAATCAAGATAAAATGCAAATTTTTCTCATCATCATCATTATCGATAAACGTGTCAAATGAGACAGAGAGCAAGAGATTTATAAATTTGTATCAAAATCATTTGCTAACTATATCTTCTTTGAGATAATTATTGTTAAATAACACTCTAAATGATGATTGTTGTTTTGATTTTGAAAATGATCAGATGCATACAGAGCGAATATCGAATAATAATCATCGGGAAAGAATGATAAATGTTGTTTTTTCGATTTATTATGGATAATCTTGTTTCATTTGTATGACCAAAAAAACAAAACACACCAAAATCGAATAAACAAATATTTCATAATGGAAATGAAATTGAAGAATTATATTTGCATTTATGTTTTCGAAAAAAAGCAAAACATTCAAGACCAAAACTGAAACAGAATAGAAATTTTATCATTTTCAAAAAAGAAACACAATCAAATTAGCAAAATTGCTGTGTGTGTTTTTTTACCATTGATGACTGAATGATAAAATCAAACAAATCTGCCCAAATCTTCAAACAGAAAACGAAATTATCATTTCGATGATGAACATTTTGAATTTATAAATGTTTGTGTGTATGATTAAAATCTATGATCAAAACAACATACAACAACGAGAAAAAAAAATCCAGACAGAATAATTTATTTAATGGATAATGGATGGAAACAAAACAAAACAGAACTGATAAGATAAGATTTTTACGGAAAAAAAATTCCTGAAACATGAAAATTTACATTTCAAATTTTGTTGTTACTGTGTTTGTCAAATTTTATAAGCAGCCGAACAAAAATTTAGAAAAAAAAATTCAAATTTTTCAAATATTAAACAGGTAAAATAATCAGATTGTCTTTTATTTTGTCTTAAGAAAAGAATTCTCAAAGAAAATTCTTGATAAAAAAAATGTTTCAAAAAATATCAAAAAATAAAAATCCTATTATCATTATTAGTGGTTGAAGTGAAACAAAAACAGAATAGGTTGAAAAACAAAATCACGTTGCTAGCAAAATTTTCTATATATTAAAAAAATGAATGAATGAATGAAATGTAATGTAATGTAATTAAATTTTGTTTTACAAAATAAAATTCACTACATTAATTAATAAATTATTATCGTCGCGATCCCAAAAGCATAGATATTCTCTCTTTTCCTCTCTCTCAATCTGTGTGTGTATGTCAGTTTAAAATAGCAAAAACCTGAACCAGAAAAAAAAATTCATTCAATATTCATAATATTTGAATATGATTAACATTTCGTTCATTTGATCCGATACTAAACATTTGAATTAAAATTTTTTTTTTTTGGTGTCAATGGCCATTGCACAGATTGTTTCAAAAAAATAGAAAAGAAAAATGTGCATAGAATTTGTATGATGATATGATTCATTCGTAATAACTAAAACAATGATTCAAACATAGCATAGAATCTAGAATCATTAATCATTATCAACACACAAAAAAATGGACAAAATGATTAACGCAAACAACAACGAAATGTAATTTTAAAATTGAAAATTTACAGTTTACAGTTTGTTTTTTAAAAGAAAAATAAAACAAAATTCATTAATCAACTTTGAAAATATCTAATCAAATTCTTGAAACTTTTTTCTCTCTCTTTAATTTCGATCAAATCATTTTTATATTCTGAAGAAAAAATTTTGATTGCCAAAAACAACATTCGCAACTACATAACATCTATGTAATGTTTGTGAAGGGAATTTGATAACCGATCGTTGCTGATGATTGTGTATGTTAATTTTATTGATGATAATTAAAAATTATGACATACGAAAGTAAAAGTAATAAACCGTTGGCAACCGTTTTTTTTGTTTTTGTTTAATCACTTTCAAAACAACGAAAATTTTCACTGAAATTCAAAACAGAATTACTGAATAAAAGAGAGAATATTCGAAATGGAAAATGAATTGAGTGAATGAATGAATGAATGAAGTGAACAACAACAATAACAACGACAACGACAGTAAATGGAAACATTCAAAGTTTCAAATATAAACCAATAATAATAATAATAATAATAAATTTTTCGAGAATCCAAGAATATCTTGAAAAAAAATTCTACCCAAAATCACATTATCAACAACATCATAGGAAATCTTTTTTCTTTTATTTTTAAATAAAAATAAAAAGTTTGAACGAAAAAAGTGTGAAAGTGAGAATCATGTTTGTTGTTAATGGTAGCAATTTGATGACGATAAATCTCATCATCATCATCGATGTGATCGTTTTCGATGTCTTGTTTAACAACATTTTTCGCAAAAAAAGAGAAAATTTTGTCTAAATCGTTTTGCGATATGTGTGTGTGTGGGTGTGAATATAAATCTTATTTTCTTATGCAATTAGATTTTTGTTCACTATTTAGCCCGAAAAAAAACTGATAATGTTGAAAATTTGTCGTTGAAATTATGTTTATTGGTGAATTATTTGGAATAATGAAATTTTTTTTTGGGTAAAAATATCTTCAAGAAATAGACGTCATACACAAACATCTTTTGTACAGATTATTCCATATGATAATTAAACAAATTCCGTTCAGAACAATTCCAATTATCATAAATGATTTTCATTCAAATAAATTGATAATTGAAAATCAAAATAGAAAAACTTTTCAGAAATCATTGAACTGATTTTGTAAGTAAAGAATTTCAGAATTATCAATTGTTTCATTATCTTTCTTTTTTGAAAGTAACAAAAAAGAAAAATTCATTCCAGAATTATTTTGAATGAACATCACACACAAACATTATTGTGAAACAATCAGCACTGACAGATGTTTAAATAAATGCATTGAAAAATTAGCATTTTTATTGACAAAAAAATCATTAAAATTGTATAATTGCATAATGATACAATTGGAATTGTGAAGTAAAACAAAATGATTTTTTTCATTTGAAAAAAAATTGATACGAATCTAGTGGTGCCATCTTTCAATGATGCAAACAAAGTTTTTAATTTTGAAATTTCAAATTTTTATTTATTCAATTTATTTTCGGAAATAAAATTATCATTTTTTTTCATTAAAAAAAAATAGATTTGGAAAATGTTTGAATTTTGTCAATTATATATTGAATGGATAATGAAATGTGTTAAATTATTCTTCATCAGATAATACATCTGATTCATCGGCCATTCGTGGACGACAATTACGAAGCATAACACATGTTTGCATTCGTTGACTCCATTGTGTACCTGGTGCACAGGTCATTACATATGGACGACCATTTGAACATTGAATAAAACGATTACAATCACGATGACGATAATAACCGGATGATCGTGGACAACGGAATTTTTTAGCTGGTCGACGTTCAACTTCATAATCTTCTTCATCATCAGCTGCTGTCAATTTTTGTGGTCGTTGACAATTGGTTTGATGTACACAGGTCTTTTTACGTTGATCCCATTGAGTGCCGACAGCGCAATCCATTACGTATGGCATATAATTTGAACATTGAATAAATTGATAACAATTACGTGCACGATAATAACCAGATCGTCGTGGACAACGGAATGGTTTGGATGGACGTTTTTCAACAACGATTTCCTCATCTGCTTCCAATACCTCCAATTCACGTGGTCGACGACAATTGGTTTGATGAACGCAAGTTAATAATCGTTGATTCCATTGTGTACCGCGTGCACAAGTCATTGTATATGGACGATAATTTGAACATTGAATAAATTGGTAACATTTTCTTGCCGGATAATAACCGAATCGTCTTGGACAACGGGACATTGGAGGACGACGATCGGCATCGATTTCGTTGTTTTCGATTTGTTCATCTTGTTGTTGTAAGCTATCGATTAATTGATCAAATACATTGGTCAATTCTTCTTCTGATTGTTGTTCAGCGGAATCGATTGCTGCCACCATCAGGACTGGCAAAAATGCCAAAATGAAGAATAATTTCATGATTGATGATTTTTTAGATTAAGCAGATTTAAATTGGTAATATGTTTAATTGTTTGTCGATGGTGGATGACTGATGACAAACATCGATTGATTGGTCCATATTTATACCTGAAAATAATAAAAATCAATATTCCAATGTTGCTATCGAAACAATTAAAAAAAATAATAACCTACTAATCGCAAATTATAACCACGTGAAATAATCCTTTTTTCCTTTGAAAAAATGAATCACATCACAATGAGATTTGGAAAAAAATCCTGTGCAGAGAGATAGAGAGAGAGAGAGAGAAAAGCTATCCCAAAAGAATGCATGATTATCATACAAACAGTAAGATGATGATCTTTGATCTCTTTACAGTGATTATCATTATCAAATGTTTTCGCATTCATTCAATATTAAATCACCCGATGAACACCAGAAAACAAAAATTTATGATAATAAATACGTTAATCCAATCGATAATTTTTTCTTTTGGCCATCATAAAAATTTATTATTTTTGATCCTATTTTGCACTTTTATGATATTTGGATACATAAGAATTCTTGATGATTGAAAAATATCGTTACACAATTAATGCCAATAATGATGGCGTCGTTGGATTAATATTGAACATATTTCTACAATCAATTTAATGAATGCCATTAACATTAATATTGCATATAATTTGAATATACTGTATAGATTATTCATTGAAAGTGGATGTACAAGACGAATTTGTTCAATATAATCATCATCATCATTATCATCATCATCATTCGATTGATTTTCAACATTGGAATTTTTTAATAATCCCTCAGTATAACTATGATGATATCGTAAGGAAAAATATTCTTGATTTTTCCAATGTTCAAACATTCCATATGATGATAAACCTAATATACTAATCAAAAGAAGAGAAAATAATGTTGAGAAATTCGAGTTTTAAAAAAACAATCAGAAAACACATACAAAGTATCAAATGTATGTCGATCAACAAATGTTCGATGAACTGGAATAGCAATATACATGGTAAAAAAATGTGAATCACCATTATTTGGTGGTACATAGATAGATTTTCCATTATTAATTTGTAATTGTCGATAATGAAGACGTTCACGTGGTCCAATCATTGCATATTGTTTTTCGTTATCATTAATATTAAGAATTTTTTCATATCCATCCATTACACTATTGACATAGATCATTCGTTTGGATGCGGCATGAAATGTTGCAATTTCGGATGTTTGTATAATTTCATTCATATGAGTATGTGCAATACCCATTGTTATAATCTTATCATTTGTACGACATTCTTCTGCAAATTTTTCAATTGTATCCAAATCAATATTCGGTGGTAATGTTAATCGTGAACAAAGATTTCCAATATAGACATTTGTTAATACAATACCTATCATAAAAATGCATACAATTGTTGTAATTTTCATCGAGAAATTTAATAAACGAAAATAATGATTGGGTTGTCGTAGAAGTTGTTGTACAAATATCCAAACAAGATTATGATGATGATTCGTTTGTTGTTTACGATAATCATAACGAAACAGATGATTGAGTAAAAATATTGAAACAAATAGTAAAATCAAACAGATCCAAACAATATTATCGAATGGAGCAATCATATCACGTAATGATCTATTCACATGTGAATGTGGTCGTAGTATTGCAAATGTAACTCGTTCCAAAAAATGTGGATACAAAAAATGAAACTTTTCGTTACGTTCACTTGTCATCATCGTACCACCTATCCCGAAATCTATTTCTCCTTGTTCTATGCCCGTATAAAGACCATTCCATGTTTTATTATTATAATCATTATATTCAATTGTGAAATTAAAATATGATTCCAATGTGAACAATAATCGCGGTTCAATACCATGTGCGGATTGTTTTCGCATTAAAGGATCGGAATGATCAATTATATTGACAAACGGAAGACTCTGTAAAAGAAAATGTTTAATCATTAAAAATTATTATTTTTAAAAAAAAATTTTCTCATCAATTTACATTTTTATATCCAACCGTAAAAGGTTTTTGTCGAAAATCAAGCTTCATTGCTTTCTTTTGAAAGAAAAGCTGGAATGATCTCGATAAATGACACGATAGCATTTACAAATCGAGAATTTAGTATTCACTACAAATGAAAGAATAAAGTTTCGACAACGAAAATTCTTATTATTATTATTATTAATTTTCATACTTTTAGATAGACACAATTGTTTTTCTTCATTTACATTTCATTAAAATTCGTGAATAATTATTATTCAATGTGACAATCATTCGTTTACAAGATGATATAATTTCCATTAGGAAACTGATCAATGTAATTGAAATAGATATGATATATAGGAAAAATATTGATTTTAGATCATTAAATTTTAGATTATTCATTGAAACATATGGATTGAAAATGTTTGTTTTCGATTTTTTCTCATGTTGATGTTGATCAATATTATCACTATTATTAATTTCATCATCATGATTCATTTGAAAATTTCTCGATGCAATTGTTCGAATAGATTCCTTTTTTAGCCAATGCTTAAACATTCCATATGAATGAAAATAGAAAATCCTGAATAATAAAAATAATGAATTTAGATTCAAATTAAATTTTTCAACAAAAAAAAACACTAACATTTTATCAAATTGTTTTCGATGTGCGAATGGTTTTGTTACGGCTATAGCAACGTATAATGAATAAAGTCTGGCCGCTTCCGTATGCGGTGGAATAAAGATAACTTCCTTACCGGCATAAAACATTTCGAATATTAAACGTAATCGTGATGAAATAAATACATATGATAGACCATTCGATGATAATGATCTTCTTTGTTTACTTTGATCAATTATAACATTTATGGCTAAATCATTATTGATAATATAATCCATTCGTTGACCGATTAATTGAATTTCTTCGATTGTCGATAATTTCATTGATTGATATGGTGTACTATTGGCTATACCTATAGTACGTAAATTAGGATTATTATAAAATTGTTTAGCCAATTCTTTGACCGAATCCATTGAATAATGTGATGGTAATGCTAACATCGAACATAATGATCCGATATAATTATTAGCCAATATCATAACGGCTGTAAATGACCAAAAAATTGAACAAATTTTTATCGGTCGATTCGCCAGCCTTAATAATGGTACCGATTGTCGAAATAGATGATGTATACAAATATTGAATAAATCNGCCAATTCTTTGACCGAATCCATTGAATAATGTGATGGTAATGCTAACATCGAACATAATGATCCGGTATAATTATTAGCCAATATCATAACGGCTGTAAATGACCAAAACATTGAACAAATTTTTATCGGTCGATTCGCCAGCCGTAATAATGGTACTGATTGTCGAAATAGATGATGAATACAAATATCGAATAAATCATGACGAATATTTGGAAGATGATTATTGAATTGAATTGATGGTTGAATGGATTGAAAAAGTCGACCAACAAATAATATTATTACTAATGTTATGGTTAATAAAAACCAAACGGAACTATCCATCGGTCGAATGAGAATATTCAGATCAAAATTATCTAAATTTGCAATCGCTGGTGATGTCGCAAATGTAAATTCATCTAATATATGTGGATAAAGATAGTCAACCTTTTTGAAACGTTCGGCTGTCATCACTGTGCCACCGATACCAAAATCAATTTTTCCATATGTTATATTATCATATAGACCTTTCCATGTTGATTGTTGAAAATCAACATATTTAGTTGTAAAATTGAATTTTATTGCCAATGTTTCCAACATTTCTACTTCAACACCTCTTTGTTTGATTTGATTATTTGCTATTATAAATGGTAGATCCTAAAATAGATGTTCAATGAAACAAAATCAAGAATTAAAAATTTGAAAAAATTTAAAAAATCATAATTTAAAAACAAAAAAAAACCTGTATGTATCCGATTGTGAATAATTTTTGTTTTAAATTCAATACCAATGACATGGTTGATTGCAAGAAAGCAAATAAAAATAGGTAAATTTAAAAAGGTCTAACACACAGACACCGAGATTTATAAATTAATAAATCGAATCCAGAATTGTACCATAATCAATAAAATTGATTCAAAATCTATTGTGACCAAATTTATTGATTTACCAAAAAAAAACGTGATAATGATGATGAGCTATCAATTTTATCGATTCAAGGTCGGTCATTATTTGTTTTATTTTATTTTGTTACAAGTAACAATTAATAATTTTTATTTTCAGAAAATATATGATCGATTTTTTCAATATTTAAATTCTATTATCTATCAAGATTGAATGTATGTTTGAAAATATTTCAGCAGTTCAGCTATAGGTAAACACTATTCTTGTTTTTGTTTTTTTCTTCATCATCATTTACATTTCATTGAAATTTGAAAATAATAATTTTCAAATGAATTAATCATTCGTTTAAAAGATGATAGTGATGTGATAAATTCTATTAGAAAAATGATCAATGTAATTAAAATAGATATGATATATAGAAAAAATATTGATTTTAAATCATTAAATTCTAGATTATTCATTGCATCATATGGATTGAAAATATTAAATTTTGATTTTTTCTCTTCTGGTTGTTGAGCAATATCAGCATCATTATCTTGATCATGAGGATGATCAATTGGAAAGTTTCTCGATTCCATTGCCCGAAAAGCTTCCATTCTTATCCAATGATTAAACATGCCATATGAATGGAAATAAAAAATCCTAGTTAATTACACAAAAATGAATTTCGATTCAATTTAATTTTAAACAAAGGAAAAATAAAATAAAAATAACATTATATGTAACACTAACATTCGATCGAATTGTTTCCTATGGGCAAATGATTTTGTTATGGCTATAGCAACGTATAATGGAAGAAGTGCGGCCGTTTCAGTATTTGGTGGAAGAAAGACCAGATTTTTTCCGGCATAAATCATTTTGAATAATAAACGTAATCGCGTTGAAATGAATACATATGATGGACCATTCGATGATAATGTTTTTTGTCGTCGACTTTGTTCAATTATTATCTTTATGGCGGAAGCATAATTTCTAATAAATTGCATTCGTTGACCAATCAATTGAATTTCTTCAACTTTTGATTCTATCAATGATTGATAGGGCCTACTATTCGCTATACCTAACGTAATTATATGATGATTACGACATTGTTTAGCTAATTTTATGGTCGTATCCATCGAATAATGTGATGGTAATGCTAACATTGAACACAATGATCCGGTATAATTATTGGCTAATATTATAACGGCTGTAAATGACCAAAACATCGAACAAATTTTTATCGGTCGATTCGCTAACCTTAATAATGGTACCGATTGTCGAAATAGATGATGTATACAAATATTGAATAAATCTTGACGAATATTTTGATGGTGATTATTGAATTGAATTGATGGTTGAATGGATTGAAACAGTCGACCAACAAATAATAATATTATTAATGTTATGGCTAATAACAACCAAACGGAACTATCCATCGGCCGGATGAGAATATTCAGATCAAAATGATCTAAATTTGCAATCGATGGTGATGTTGCAAATGTAAATTTATCAAATAAATGTGGATAAAGATAGTGAACTTTTTCCAGACGTTCGGTTGTCATTACTGTACCACCTATTACAAAATCAATCTCTTCGTTGGTTAGATTATCATATAGATATGACCATGTTGATTGTCGAAAACTTTGATAATTGATTGTAAAATTAAATTTTTTTGCCAATGTTTCCATCATTTCTACTTCGATACCTCTTCGATCATGACGACCATTTGTTGATATAAATGGTTGATCCTAAATGTGGTGTTTGATGAAATGAAATTAAAATTTCAAATAATTGAAAATTTCAAAATGAAAACCTCCATAAATCCAATTGTGAATGATTTTTGCTTAAAATTCAGCACCATTGATGACATGATTGATTGATAGAAAGCAAATAAATTTCATAAATAAAAACACTCACAGAAATATAAATCAGATCCGGCGTTATACCATAGGGTTATAATCAATAAAATTGATTCTAAAACTATTATGAGGAGGGCGGTTATTATGAATTTTATTTTGTTTTGTTACAAATAACAATTATTATTTTCTCTTTTCATTTTCAAAAAAATGATCGATTTTTTTCCAATATCAAACTTTTTCCGATAAAATACAATTCAAACTAATATACGATATATAAATATAAAAAGTATTAACATTGAAATACAATTGTTCATCATCAAGATTGAATGTTCATTTGGAAATTGGAAATGTTTCCATAGGTCTACCAATAATCATATCGAAAAAATCACACTTTTCATAATAAATCGAATAGAATTTTTCCAGGTTCATCATCCATTTTTTACGCAATTTTTTTCAATGTAATGTTAAAATTATTGAACTAAATATTTCGATGAAAAATAAGAATGCATAATTAAGTTGATTACGACTTTTTTCGAACATTTGCTTCGATTATTCCAAAATCTTTCAACAACAATATTATTTTTCAATAGATTATGAATCACGATTACAGAAGAATGGATGATATCAACTTGGTAATCACAATTCTTGTTTTTTTCGTCATTTACATTTCATTGAAATTCGAAAATAATGATTTTCCAATATGATAATCATTCGTTTCCAATTATAGGATGATAATAATGATGAGATAAATTCTATTAGAAAAATTATCCAAGTAATTGAAATAGATATGATATATAGGATAAATATCGATTTTAAATCATCAAATTCCAGATTATTCATTGCAACATAGGAATTGAAGATGCTCATTTTCGATTTATCCTCTTGTTGTTGTTGTTGATCAATATCATTATTATCACGTTGATGATTAATTGTTGAATTTCTAGATGCAATTGTACGAAAAGCTTCCATTCTTATCCAATGATTTAATATTCCGGATGAGTGTAAATAGAAAATGCTAGAAAATTAATTAATAATGATTATTTATTAAAATAATTTTGAGAAAAAGAAAAAACTGTTATAGAATACTGACATGCGATCGAATTGTTTCCTATGGGCAAATGATTTTGTTGCAGCTACAGCTACGTATAATGGATAAAGATTGGCAGCTTCCGTATGCAGTGGAACAAAGACAAGATTTTTCCCGAAAGAAATCATTTCAAATATTAAACGTAATCGTGATGCCATAAATACATATGATGAACCATTCGATGAAAATGTTTTTTGTCTGCGACTTTGTTCAATTATCATCCTTATGGCTGAATCGTAAGTGCTAATATATTCCATTCTTTGACCGATCAATTTGATTTCCTCAACATTAGATAATATCAATGATTTATAAGGCCTACTATTGGCGATACCTAAAGTATGTAAATTAGGATTATTACGCAGTTGTTGAGCTAATTCTTTGACCGTATCCATTGTATAATGTGATGGTAATGCTAACATCGAACATAATGATCCGGTGTAATTATTTGCCAATACTATAACGGCTGTAAATGTCCAAAACATTGAACAAATTTTTGTTTGTCGATTCGCCAGCCGTAATAATGGTACTGATTGTCGAAATAGATGATGAATACAAATATCGAATAAATCATGACGAATATTTTGATGATGATTATTCAATTGAATTGATGGTTGAACGGTTTGAAATAGTCGACCAACAAATAATATTATTATTAATGTTAAGGCTAATAACAACCAAACAGAACTATCCATCGGTCGAATGAGAATATTTAAATCAAAATGATTTAAATTTGCAATCGATGGTGATGTTGCAAATGTAAATTTATCAAATATATGTGGATAAAGATAGCTGACTTTTTCAAAACGTTCTGCAGTTATCACTGTACCACCCATACCGAAATCAATATCTCCATTAGTTAGATTATCATATAGATTTGACCATGATGATTGTCGAAAATTTTGATAATTGATGGTAAAATTAAATTTTTTTGCAAATGTTTCCATCATTTCTACTTCGATACCTTTTCGTTCGTTTCGATCATTTGTTGCTATAAATGGTTGATCCTAAATATGTTTGATTAAATAAAATTAAAAATTTTAAAACAAAAATACCTCCATAAATCCGATTGTGAATGATTTTTGCTTTAAATTTAACATTGTTGCATTGGTTGATTGGTAAAAAAGCAAATATGTTTTATGAATCGAAACGGTTTATACATACAGATATAAATCAGACATGGCATTTTACTACACTTGTTTGAAATCAATAAAAATTGATTTTATCCAAATACAAAACATTGTAAAACTAATGAACTAATTATTAAATGATTCATTCATTTTGAATCAATGTTGATCAATATAATATATTTTTGGTTAGTTCCGTAACAAATAATAATTATTTATTTTGATTTTCATATATTTTTCGACAATAATAATAACAATAAATCAATTTTTTTTTTGTTTATGAGAAATTTTCAGTATCGAACTTTTCGATATAATACAATATAAGCTAATATACGATATATAAATATATAAAGTATTAACATTTTAATATTAAAATACAATTGATTATCATCAAGATTGAATGAACGTTTAGCAATTGAAAATGTTTCCATTGGTCTACCAATAATCATATCGAATGAATCAAACATTTCATTATAAATTGTATAGAATTTTCCCTGTTCATCATCCATTAATTGATTTTTTACACATTTTTTCAATGATACAATTGTATCATTTGAAAATTGTTGCCGTATTAATTTGATTATTAATGCTTCGTTTGTTAGAAATTCATTATCATCATCATTATTATCATTGATAATACGACAACGATCAAAACCATAGATATTGATGATTAAAGATTCGAAACCAAGTCGATATTGTGAAACATATGTCATTTGTTTTAATGGTATTGGTAATGATGAATTTGGTACGAATAAACCGGAAAATAATATTAAACCCATTTGTGATATTGCAGCAACAATTAATGCCTGATTTGCATGTTTAACAAATAATGATGATATTAATTGACCAACACCATCACCAACTAATGCCATTAACATTAGTATAATGTTAAAATAAACAAAACGCCATTGTTCATCTAATGGTTGATCGGTAAGAAAATAGATAGTTGTTCCGAATAGAATCGATATAATTAATGATGGTAATATGGTGACCATATTTTTTGCAATAAAATAAATCGGTAATCCATACCAACCATGTGATAATTCACGTCTTATGACAATGATTTCCATTGGAAATGTTAACAATACCGGTAATGTTGATATGAATGCAATAAACATTTCGATAAAAAATAAGAATGCATAATTAAATTGATTACGACTTTCTTCCAACATTTGTTTTGACCATTCAAAATCTTTTAACAACATTGTTTGATTATTTTTTATTTGATCACGAATCATATTACGTATGATTGGACGATAACAGCTATCATTTTCACCTAATCGCATATCTTTATATATAAATGCTATGATAAATATAACAATTCCTGTACCGAATATACGTATAAGTAATTCTGATGGATTACGATATTGTAACATTATTGAACGTAACCATAAATGATAAAGTTGTACGATGCCTGATTTACCATTTGAACGTGATTGTTGTATAATTTTTCTTATTGGAATTATTCGCATTGATGATTCTTGTGGTTGTTGTTGTTGCTGGTGAGATGCTGTTGCTGATATTAATAGTTCCATTTGATTTGTATCACATTGATTACCAATAGCAATTTCGGTAATAAAATCTGCTGGATTATGATATTTAGGACAATTGATTTGAAATTCGGCTAAATAATCAACTATTTGATTACTTGGACCATGATATAAACAATAACCATTCATTGACATAACATAAAGATTATTAAAATATTTTAACATTGTTGCTGTTGGTTGATGAATTGATAACATAATAGCAATTGGTTGACGATAATCATCAGCTAATTCACGTAATAATTGTATTGTATTGATACATGCAATCGAATCAAGTCCACTGGTCGGTTCATCCAACAATAATATTGTTGGTGAAAATAATAATTCCAAAGCAATGCTAACACGTTTTTGTTGACCATTTGAACAACGTCCAACATAAATATTTTTACATGAATCTAATCCTAGTTTTTGGATAAGATTTGTTGTTATTCGATTAGCTTCCAAAAATGGATTCAAATCACAATTGTTAAAGTTACTATTACTGGTTATCATTAATTTTGATGCAAACAATAATGTTTCTTTGACGGTCAATATCATCATCATTGTATCCGTATGTGATAAATATGCTAAACGAATCGATTCGATTGATTTTTGTGATCGTTCAATTGACGTACAGACATTTACCTGGCCCATATTAAATTGTTTATTACGACCAGAAATACATTCTAAAAGTGTTGTTTTACCCGAACCACTTGGACCAATTAATGCGGTTATTTCACCAGTACGAATCGTACCATTCAATGATTGTAATAATCGTCGTCGACGATTATCATAATAATGTTGTTGATTCGTTGCACATTTAGTATCATTATCATTGTTGTTTTTTAATTTCGATGATTTTACGATAATTTCATAGATTAAATTTTGCCATTGTAATTCAATCGTATCGATTGATGTTGAATTATGAACATCATTGTTGTCAATTTGATTATCCTGGTTGATAATTTTATGATCATTATCTGATGATATCATTAGGTAAACTTTTGGTCCATTACAATCAACAAGTGGATCATTTTCATTATTGTTATCGATTGATTCGGTCATTGTTTTAGAATTCATCATAATTTAAATTACAAAATAATGATGTATTTTTCACATGAAAATTTTCATTTGACAAATCTTTTTCTTTTCGGAATGATTATCATATACAAAAACAACAAGTGATTGTCAATAATAATAAAAAAAAATTCACACCATCAACAAAATTGATGTTTTTTTTTCTGTTGACGTATGATAATAAACAAACAAACAAATAGAAATTATGGGGAAAATAAAGAGAAACCGAGTCAACGAAGAAAAAACGAATGAAATTTCGAATATTTTATCATCAATGTTTATTTCTCTTTCATAATAATCAAATTGAAGTTTTCTCTTCTTTTTCCTCTTCTTCATCAATGATATGATTAAGTAATCGCCATATTGATGTTTGTCAAAAAAACATCAATTGATTGAAATTGATAATGATACAAAAAAAACAGAAATTTTTAAAACAGAAAAAGAAATTTCTCTCATTCTTTTTTTATAGCGATGAAAAAAAAAATTATAATAATTTTCCTTTTTTTCTCCATAAGAAAAAAAAATGGTATTATGACATTTGAAAAGATTGAATTATTCAATTTTTCTTTTATTTTTTTCTCATTCCATTTGTCATTGACCAATGAGGATAATAATAATAATAATGATGATGTTTACATAATTTATCTTCATTTTTGAAACAAGAATGGCCTTCATTGCTTATTGCTAAATTATTGATTGATTAATACTGATTACCATATAATTATCATTAATTTAAAACTTTCGAGACAATCTGACAATTTTTTTTGATTTTTGATTTTTTTTCCGTATGATTTCAAATAATCGAAATGAATGAACTAAATGATTATTCAAACGATTTAAAAATTGAAATTCCGAATCATGTTTATATGTTGTATGTTCATCATCATGAACACTGTATAAATTGGGCAATATTTTGATCAAAGGTGAAATCAATATTATTTACAACAACAACAACAACGACGACGACGACGAGGATTATAATTTTCAGTCAAAAACAAAATTGTTTTGGAACAACAACAAAAAAAAATGTCAATCAAAGAATTATTAGCGTTGGATAAAGTTCAACGATTTTTTCGTATTATTAAACAAAGTGGTGGAATAATTAATTCGGTTAAAAAAATTTATCGGTAACCATTATTTTCATTTTGTTTTGTTTAAATAAAATTCATTTATTTTTTTGTTTTATAATTAATTTTCAGTTTTGATTTGTTAAAAGTTGGTACACTTGTTGGTACGGATAAATATGGTAATCGTTATTATGAAAATAATGAATATATGCATGGTGCAAATCGTTGGATTGAATATTCGGATCGTGTACATTTAGATTATGATGCAAGCCAAATACCTGCCGAATGGCATGGTTGGTTACATTATATGACCGATATACCACCAACAAAAGCACAATATCCACGTCATCGTTGGATGATTGATCATCAAGAAAATATGACCGGTACCCGTTTACAATATGTACCATATTCAACAACACCGGCCAAAATTCAAAGCTGGCAATCGGGTCAAACATCATCAACCACAAAGCAACTTAAGTGAATCCCAAAAAAACGGGCCATAAAAAAATTTTTAATTATCAATGAAAAATTCTTAGTTTAAAAAAGTCTTATTGTAAAATAAATTCAAAATATAACTCTGATTTTTTTTATTGAATTTTATAAAATTTTTTAAAAAAAACATCAAAAACTGTTTTTGGAAAAATTAGATTGGAAACAAAATCAATCCATAATTCACACTTCATCATGTTTTTTCTGTTGCTCCTGCTGTTGTTTCTGTTCTTCTTGACGTTTTTGTTCCTCAAAATCTAATAATTGTTTCGAAAATTGTCTTATATTTTCGACAACAATTTTAGGCTCTTCGAATGCTAGAAAATGTCCACCAACATTCGACTCGGTAAATTGAAGAAGATTTTCATATAAATGTTCAAGAAATTTCTTTGGTGTTCTCATGATATCATGTGCAGGTTCAATAATAGATGCTGGAACTTTGACTTTTAATCTGAAGATTTTGATAGAATCAATTAAAACTGTTATGAAAAGAGATATTAATACTTACTGCATTAGCGATTGTGTAAGTTGGTAATTTTGCATATTTTCTAGATAGAATCGTTGAGATGCAGCAATATTACCACTTGTCCAATAGATCATAACATTTGTTAATAATTCATCCATTGTGAATTTATTTACTAGGCCACCATCCGATCGTTGCATATAATCTGAATGTGTCCAAGCAGAAAATTTTTCCAACAAATATGCAGCCATTCCGATTGGACTATCAACTAGACCGGCTGCAACCGTATCCGGTTTTGTAGCTTGAATATGCATGTAACCAGTTTCACGAAGCATATATTTAAATTTTTCACCAAATGGAAATGTTTTTTCCCATTGTCGTTGCCAATCATCAGTACCGAAATAATATTTAGGCATTAGATATGCCATCAACATTCGTCGATAATCACAAAATGTTGATGGTTGGAAAAAACTACCGACCTGATTTAGGCCACGAACACTATATAAAACGAATAAAATATTCACTTGTAAATTATTTTTCAAAACAAAACAAACACATACTTTTCGGGGTAAATGGTCGAAATGGCCAATGAAATGGCAGAACCCCAATCACCACCATGTACAATAAATTTTTCATGTCCTAAACGTTTCATTAGTTTGACGAACATTCTTGCAGCTGCCGGAATATTAAAACCAGGTTTATGTGGTCGTTCGGAATAACCATAACCAGGTATTGATGGTAAAATAATTTCATATGCGATACCATTCGAATCTGGTTCGGTGAACATCGGTATCGATTTTAGATATTCATAAAAACTTCCCGGCCAACCATGAACCAATAGAATTGGGAAAATTGTTTTCACTTTGTTCGTTGTTGTTGTTTTTGGTTTAATATGATAAAAATGAACATTCAAACCTTCGATTTGTGTAATGAATTGTGGATATGAATTGATCATTTTTTCATGTTTACGCCATTGATAGCTATTTAGCCAATATTGTTGTACAACACGTAGATAATCTGAATTGAATCCATATTCAAAATTTGTATCCTGCAGATGATCAATAAAACGTGAACGTTTTAAACGTTCCTGAAGATCATTAAGATCAGCATCGGAAACATTTACACGGAATGGTTTAACATCAACTGGATCTTTTGGAATTCGTTGATTGGCTATTTTGATGACGACAAAAAAAAACAGCGTCAACAATATATTAGAGGAAAATTCAATATGGAAATACGAAACCTTTAAGCTTTTCATGACCGAACCAATCATCAACTTTGAGTGTTTCCAAATTTAGTTTGTCATGACATTTGAAAAGACATGGATAAAAATGATATAGGCCAATACCGGCAGCAATTAACAGAATAAATGTGGTAGTCTTACAACAGCAACCCATTATAATAATTCTATTTCAACAATTTAACAAATGTCAATGAATAGACAATTTCAAAATGAAATATTATTTATAATAAAATGCAAATGACAATGATAAATGTTCGAGAAAAAAGGTACCCAGAAAAATATTTGATTAAATGATTACAACAGTGACAAGAAACAAAAAAAAAATGTTTATCATCGGCAACAATGATGAATGAATGTCATCTAAAGTAAGCAAACAAAATGGATTGAGCCAAAAGAATAGAACATCGATAAATCAATCGAGAAATATTATTTGCAAAATGATATGAACCCCCGATGTTATCGCTCAACATCATCATCATCATAATAATATTTGATGAGCGATAGAAATTTGATGAGAAAAACTTTACCTAAAAATAACTTTTCAAATTGTTCGGAAATTTTTTTGGAAATTTATTCGATTGAAAATTTTTGAAATAAAATAATTTGTGAGGTAGACGGGAAAAGAACAAAATTAAAAGGAAAAAAGAAATTCAGGAAATTGGTCTAGTTTTATGTCGACGTTTAAAGCTATAACAAGAACAGCAAAAAAACATTATCGATGTGGCCAAAGTGATAGTACCAAAAAGTGTATTGCCAAAATTAATAAGAAATACTAATGCATTAAATTGCACCATTTCGTCTTTGTTTGGACCTCCTCTCTATGAATAAATTATTTTAGAATCATTTAATACTGAGAAGTTTTTTTTACCTGAGTTGTCCAAAAAATTGGAAAAACCATAAATGGTACCGAACTCAAACCCGGCATAGTTGAATCAATTTTAATACCTAATTGTATGCTAACTTTAGCCTCTAATGTTAGACCAGTATTTGGTTCAATATTTAGATATGATGAATGACGTTCACGATCTGGTTGTAGACCTATTAATTGTTTAGCTCTATTTGGAAAATTAAGAAAATGTGGCCATGAAATTGCTAATGGTATACCACTTGAACAAGGTGATAAATCTTGCCAACCATCACATTTCGACAATGAATTTTGTAGACAAAAACATCGATTATTTTTAATACGCATATCAATCTGATGAACATCAAGATCATAACGTATTGTTTGAATATCGGAAACATTTGATGGATTTGGATCACGTTTAAATCTTAATGCACGACATGTTTGTGAATTAAATATTTCGATCGTATTTTTGTGAAAAATTTTTGTTCCAAAATGCATACCATCTGAACCACGAATTTCATCACATGGACTACGATAATCAGGAAACAATCTATTCAAATTATGAATGATTATGAATAAAAATTGAAGCAAATCAACGAAAAAAAGAAAACATTTACGTTTTTCCTTCAACCATAAACACATGGCTAAATACATGACCATTTTCTGTTCGTCTCCAATATTCAAATGGACCAATATCAACATCAGCACGTTGCCAAATAAAACCAAATGTTTGATTACGAATTTTATTGCCCGAACCTTCGCCTAATTCACCTAGATCTGGTATTGGTATACCAACCGAACGTAATGGTCTTGATATAGTTTCGACAATACGAAAAAAATTTATTGATCGTCCTTCCAATAACTCATAGATAGTACGTTGTTCAACAATTTTTTCGCCAGTTGCAGCCAAAACATTTGACATTATACTTTGTACAATTGGATCGAGAAATTTTAGCGACAAATTTTTAATCGTTGCTTTCACTGCATATATTATTGACTATTCGAATTTAAAAAAAAAATTATTCATGAGCAAAAAAAAAATCAATTTTTTTTTGCCTCATACCAATAATGGATAGTTCAAAACCGTTATAGTTTCCATCATTGATCGAGATTCTTGTTCCTTAAACTGAAAATGTGTACGTTCAGTGAATACAACCTTATCTTTTTTATATTCCAATATTTTACGGCGACGAAATTCACGATATTTATATGGACCAATTTCTTTGATTATCGGTTTTGATCCACGAATAAATTCATTTGGATTTTTAATACCAAACAAATAATATTCCGAATCAAGGGCAACATTTTTCCTAAGTAAAAATTTTTCAATTTTTCAATTAAAATTTATCATTTAAAATTCATATAAAAACTTACCATGCTGGTAATAAAGCACTCCAATCACTGACATCTAATTGTTTGGTAAAACCACTCAATACAATACTTTCGGATGAAAGTAGAATCATTTGACTAATCAACAATGTAATCACTCCGATTATGGCAAATATTAGCCATAATAATCGCAATAGAATGGGTTTCTTTTTTCTTCCTTTCTTATCCAATGATAATTCCGATCGAATTAATTTCTTTTGTGAACCATAATGATCATCATTTCGAATTGGATGATTATCATCGATCATTGTCATTGATGGTTGATAATTTGTTTTAACTATAGCCAATCGTTGTGGTTGTAATATGATTTGTTGTCCATCATGAAGTTGTTGATGTTGATAATGAACGATATTTGAATCCGAATCAGAATCATCATTATTTATTTTTTTCATTTTCATTGATCCATGATCAGGTTGAATTACGGTAACAATTTGATGATTAGATTTGGCCGATAAATTCGATAAATGTTGAACCAAATCATAATGATCTTGATGATCAAAATGGACAGGAACATTATGAATAAATGATTTACGTCGTATATTTTCATTGAAATTATGTAAACGATTTTTAAGATTATGGCTTAATATTTTGGATGGATTTTCTTGTTTTTTCATTTTTTTTTACAAATCTGATTAATTTGTTCACCGAAACAAACTTGTTTTATGAATATTAAAATGAATTTTTGTTTTCGTACAAAATTTAAAAAAACAAAAACCAAAATAATAATAAAAAATTCAATAACTAAAGTAACTTGAAAAGTTTCTTTTTTCTTTTTCGTTGATTTAAATTGTTTTTAAAAACAAAATTCCTTTTCATTCTGTTAAGTAAAACTTATGGTATAACTTTTAAATTATTTAAGTTTATCATATTTTGTTCCATGACAACCATTGAATCATTTAGGGAAAAAAATTCATTATCGATTTAAAAAAAAGAACGGCGGAGACCTTGAAAAATCACTCGAAAAAAAATTCAAGTTCATTAATTTCGTTCAATAATAATGAATCAATATTGAAGTTTTTGTAGAAAAATTTAATGATCCAACAAAGAACATAATTGGTAGCGGAAAAGAAAACTTTTGTATTTAAATTTATGAAAACTTTTTTTTCAATCTCGTATATTTTCCCGGAAAAATTCCTTTAATACTAACAAAAAAAAAATAAAATAAAATAAAAAATAAATATTTGCACTTTTCATTTATTTTGCAACCATATTGCAACTAATCATGGACAAAAACAAACATGGATTTTTTATTTAACTTAATTCATTCATTACAAGTACATCTTCATTTATTTAAACAAAAAACAGCCAAATAATCAGGCAGGCAGGCAGGTATAACGAAAAAAATAAAATCAAATGCACTATGATTGAACTGTAATTGTGAATGGAAAAAATATTATCATATATAATAAAGTGCTTTTACGTACATTCGTACTTTTTGTACTTTTTTCTAGTACAATTTTTCAAACGATTTTTTTTTCTCCTTCATTTTATAATAATAACAAGTTGATATTTCAATTGAAAATGAAAAGATAATCTTTCGATGTTGTGTTTGTTGTGGAAAGATTTTTCCGTTTTTATACAATGTTATTCATTTGATTTATCATTCGAATCCAATGAATGTTTCTGAGTTTTAAATTATTGTTGTTGTTTTGTAAATTCCATATTTTTTATTTTTTATTATTCAAATTATAATTTGATTATGTTTTTTTTTTTTTGTTTTTTCAAGTGTATTTTCTTCTTTCATTTGGGTTCAAATTATCATTAGAAAAAGAAGAAATTATCAATCACAAATCACCAATCAATTGACCTGAATCATCTGATTATCATTAAATCATCATCATTTCGGGTGCATTTTTCTCCATCAATATACATGTGCAATATGATTATCCAAACACACACACACCAGAAAAAAGAAAAAGAAAAACTAAAGACATCAACAACTTCTTATCATCAATCATCATCATTTATTAAACCACTGTATGTTTCAGGCGTACGCCCGGTATATATTTTTTTTTAAAAAAAAAATATCATAATCGAGAGCAAACAAAAAAATGTACGTATAGATAAAATATACATCCTAAATGTGATATTGCAATTTCTGTGGAAAAATATCGATGACATTTTTTGCCTTCTTTTTTCTCGTCTCATAAAAAATAATCCAAATAATATATTGCACTTGTAAATACACAAACACAATCATATAGCCTCAATTTTCAATTTTTTTTTTTATATTTGTTTTTCAAATCAACTTTTTTCTCAAAAATTTTCATTTTTATTGTCGTTGTTTATATATATTGTTAAACAAAATATAGTTTTGTTTTTGTCTTTTTTGGCAGTTTTATATGATTTTTTTTTGATAATGATAATAATTATGAAATCAAGATATCTAGCAATGAGAAGCATAAACAAAACAAATTGAATGATGAGAATTAGTAACAAAAAAAATAAAAAAAATCAAAAACTTTTAAAGAATTTTTCATTCACCAAAATTTCACCGCGAAAATTGATTGATTCGAATGTTTTTGTTGTTGTTCAAATTCATTATCGAATCATGATTAGACTTTGATTCGTTGTTGTTGTTGTTGGTGGGGGCGTTGCTAATCAAAAGTATCGATATCATCCAATTATCTTTATCATCATCCAATTAATTATATCATCGCCAAAATTTTTTGCACTTTCGACATTCTAAACCGCAAACTTATTTAAATTAATTTCTAATTTCTAATTTAAATCATTTCATTTCATTTTTGATTATGAAATTCATCGATTGTGATGATTGAGATAAACATTATTAGGAAAAAAAATTATCATCAAATTGTTTAATGTTTGCACTTATTTAATGTTTCCATGTTTTCCAAATCAATCGTGTTCTCTTTGTGTGTGTGTGTATTTTGTATTTCGATTACGATTTTTTTGTTTTTGTTTTCATTTTAAAAGTTTTGTTTTGTTTATTTTATTTCAAATCAATCGCAAACAGGCTCAACATCATAATCATTAATGTGTTTTTTGTTTTGTTTTTACCACAAATTCATTCGAATCAATAGAAAATAAACAAAAATTTCTTATTTGGTAATGCTAATTAGATAATATGAATGCAAATAATTTGAAAACATCATCATCATCATCATCCATGATGAAAGTGAATGATAATAATAATATAATTGAAAAACAATCATCAAAAACAACTAAATCATCGAATATTGGATGTTTAAAATCAATTCTAATCAATAATATTCAACCATATTATCATCGTATTGATCATGCTTCAAATCAGCCAACAAAATTAGATGAAACAGATAATAATAATAATAATAATAATAATAATAATCAAAATAAAAAATGTAATATATTTCAATCATTATCATCATCAACATCATCATGTCCATTACGACAAATGAATAAAAAATCCTGTTCGTTTGTAGAAATGTTGGGACAAATCATATCGAATGTTTTCAAATCGATTGATAATAATGATAATGATGATCAAACAAAAATGATAAATAATAATAATAATAATGGACAACAACAATCGGAAATAATGATGATGCTGAATGAACAAGATGAATTGATATTCAAACAATATCAAATCTCGAAAGAAAATGTAGAAATTTTTCGAAATTTTCGTTTAGAATATCAGGAATTTTTTCCAGAAAATGTTGATGATTCAAACGAATCACTTACCGATTATGAACGTTTACGTTTAGAACAATTAGATAATGCATTGGATCCGTTACGTTATAGTATTCGTAGTCGTCATCATTTAAAAAATGAACATTATTGTAATGAAGATATTCATGGTTATTATCTAAATCAATGTCTTTTTCGTTCATTCAATGGTCGACCACAACAATCGAATGAAGAATTGAATGAAAATCTTTATACTGATATTGAATTCACTATCAATATGTTGATTACATTGGCCAAACAGATCAAACCTTTTAATGAACAAAGTTGTAATGATCAGATTAGTTTATTACAACAAAGTGTAATGCCTATAATGACATTACGATCATTATTGTTACAGAATCGTAAACCACCACCATTACGGCCATCATCATCATCTTGTAGTTTGAAACGTCAATGTTCAATGTCCGATTCGGATGATAATTATGTTGCAACCACCACCACCACCACTACTACAGCTACCATCGATGATAATACAATAATCAAACCAAAAACAATATTGAAACGAATTTGTTTGGATGCTGTTCGATCGAATGAATCTCAATCATCATCATCGGTAAATATACGTCCATCATGTATTATGAAATTGACAAGAACCGTTGAAAATTCAACACTATCGACTTGTAGTAATAATAATAATCATAATTCTGAATTATCATATCATCCAAATGAAATAACATTGGAACATGAAAAACATTTTCAAATTCTTTATCAAAAATTATTCCATTCAATTGATGATTATTGGCTTAAAGATAAATATATTTTCTATTTATTATTTGTAATCGTATTGTTTCAACCATCTAATCATCATCATCATTGTTCGACAAGTAATGATCTTGAAAATGTTAATCAAATAAGGTAAAAATAGGAAAAAAAATTCTTTTTTTTCAAAAAATAATTCTATTTTCTTTTTTTTCAATTACAATAAATTAGAGAAGAACATTATCGTAACTTACATCTATTGCAACGTTATCTACGAAATCAATTTGTTGGCCAACCAAATGCCCGATTTTTAGCACGTTCACATTTTGTTCGTCTTTTTGATCTCATACAACAAGTCTATTATATACATCATAATGTTATACAAAAACTTTGGAGTTATAATCTAAAATATGCTCATAATTTATGGGAAAAATTATGTGCCCATTGATATTTTTTTTTGACTGTTTTCTTTTAATTTATGTATTTGTGTGTGTTATGTGCCAATAAATTTTCGGTTGTTTTTTTTTAAATTTTTATTTTAAAAGTTTTCTTTTTCTATTCAAACTTGGCGATGATTCTATATTTGCTATTATTGTCATAATTGTCATGAAGATTGTCGTGGATATTCAACTGATTGAAATTGTCTTGAATCGGTTGGTTGTTGAAAATTTCCCGGATAATTCCGTTGAGGATATGAAGGTTGTTGTTGTTGCTGTTGTTGTCGACGATTACCATATAAAGGTTGTGGATATTGATATCGCTGTGATGAATTTGGTTGTTGTTGTTGTGGCCACCTTGGTCGTTGATCTTGCCATGATAATGGTGATCGTGGTGGTGAACTTGGTGGGCTAGGCAATCGACTTCCAATATCATCATCACGAATTTGTTGTCCTTGTTCATTACAGATTTTCGTCCAATATTTTTGCCGTAAAAGTTCTACCTGACCACGATTTTTCAGTTCACGAATAGCTTGATTAAATCGTTCAAGATATGGTGAACCACGAACCAAAGCAATGGCAAAATTTCTTGGAAACAATGATTGTCGATCCATAATCATTGTAAGATTGCAATTCTGTCCGATAACATCTTCGGCAAATGTTGATTCAACAAGAAATGCATAACGTGGATTTCGAAATACAAGATCAACACCATCATTGGCCGTATCGACTAATAATGATTTATTCATTATTGATTCGTAAATCTTTTTTGCTGTTGGATGTTGACTACGGGAAAGATAATCAAAAATAGCGCTATTACGTACTACGACAAAATTTATTGGTCCATTTAATTGCGAATCAATTGATCCACTATCATCATTAGCTTGAACTAAATCCTGAAGTGACATGAATTGTTGTTGTTGATTTAATTTATTTAGATCACGTGATATGATTGCCGATAATTGATTCTCAATAAATGGTTCGGTAAAATCAACATATTTTCGTCTTGATTCAGTTACTTCAAGATCACCAGCAGCAAAGTCTGCTTCCTATTACAACATTTAAAATAAAATTAGTTTTTCAAAAAATAGTAAGATTATATCCAAACATACATTTGTATAGACTTCACCAATCATACCATTTACAGTACCATCAGGATTCATTGAACCATATTTACCATCCAATGGTTGATGAAGACAATATTCAAAACCAACACGTTCGGCAATCAAATCAAGTAGATCAACAGCAAAACCTTCATAATGTTGACCAAATCGATCGGCATATGGCCAATTCTAATCACAAAATAAATTTTTTAAAAAAATTCAAACAATGATAATTTGATTCGTAAAAATAATGATAAACACTTACCCTTATAATGACACCTTTGAGTAAATTTGTTGGTTTTGCCAAAATTAATCGTTCATGTTTGTTGGGTAATAATATTATCATTATGATAGACAAATATATCGTCATCATCATTCTGATTAACCGATAACAAGACATTTTTCTTAATTTTTTTTCTATAGTTAAAGTAGGTGCAAGGTTTTTTCTCAAGGATTCTTTTTTGTTTTTGTTTTTTTTTTGTTTTTGTTGTTGTTATCGTTGCAGTGGTAGTTATGATTATGCTGAATATTGAAAAAAATTATTTTTGCATTGATACCAATCGTTTATTAAATTTGAAATTTTTCATTTTTCATTTTTAACAATAATAAATTGAGGCCATTATAGAAAATGAAATTGATTTGAATGAAAATTTCCAAACATTCCGACTTTCATCAATCATGATTATATATCAGTTATTTAAGTCCTATTTAAGTGTTTTACATTTGATACATTTTAATGGTTAATTTTTTAAATTATCTTTCGTTAAGAAACAAAAATAAGTTTGGATATTTGATATACATGAATGAACAAATTTTTCATCATTATTATCATCATTAGACATTAGTTCCGTTCGACCAATCAAACATATAAATAACATAACTATTATTGTGTAAAAGATGTGCCTCTCATCATCATCATCATCATCATTATTATCAAATGTGTCAAAATGTTGATCGTAAATTCCAGAAAATTTTCCAATAACAACAATAATGATAAACACAATGAATGATGAAATCGATATGACAAATTTTTTGTTTTGTTTGAAATAAAAAAAAAATAATTATTATCAATCGCAAAAACGAAAAAAATTAATAAAATTCCTTTTGAAGATTAAGGCGAAAAAAAAACAAATCAAAAAATCATCATGCCAATCAATGATAATTGAAAAAAAAATGTAAGATGAACTTTGATCAATCGAAATTCGAACGGTAATTTTTTGATGTCCATTCGCAAATATGATTATCTATCCATTATCTTAATGTTGGCAATTTTGATGATGATCAAAATCAAACCGAAATATTATTAATCATATTAATTATCCTTTCCTAGATTAATTAATCAATTCATAAATTATTATCAATTGGATTGATAACCTTGACTTCGTATTTTTTTCCTATTCAATTTTTTGTTGTTGTTGTTTTTTTTTTGCCATCGAATATTGCAATTATTATTGTCAATCCTAAATCCTAAATCTTATATCTTTCTATATATAAGATGTATGATTCTCACTCAAGATGTATATTCATTTCTAGTTGTTTTTTTTTCATCTAAAGATTTATTCATTATGATTCGACAAACTTTATCATTATTTATTGCTATTAGCATTTTAATGGTCAATGCTGATCCTGTTCAACAACGACCAACACTTCGTGGTGTTACTGTTCGTGTAAGTAAATTTTAGAATTTCTTTCGATCAAAACAATAATTTTATTCATCAGGTTGGTCCATTTGTCAAAGAAAATAATGGCAAATTTGAAGGATTTATTCCCGATTTAGTTCAAGCCATTTCTGAAAAAGTTGGTTTCGATTATACATTGTATTTATCACCAGATGGTCGTTATGGTAATGTTATATCCGATGGTAATGTAACCGGTATGATTGGTGAAGTCTATAACAAGGTTTGTTCTTGTTTAAATTACCTTTCTTTCTTTCTGTTTTATAAATGATTTTTTTAAATATAGAAAGCAGATTTCGCTGCCGCTGATCTAACAATGACAGAAGCACGTGAAAATTATATAACATTTACCGAACCATTTATGATTAATCAATTGGCTGCACTAATACGTCGTGAAGATGCTGAAGGATTAAATACATTGGAAGATTTAGCAAAAGCACAAGAAACTTTTCCAAAACGTAAACGAATCGTATTGGGAACATTACGTAATGGTGCTACAAATTATTTTCTTTCAAAAAGTGATGATCCACTTGCTAAGAAAATATATGAACAAATTAAAGCAGATGATCAATCAAATGTTAAAAGCATTTCCGAAGGTGTTGAACGAGTGGATAAACAAGGTGGCTATGCATTCATTATGGAATCAGCATCGGCTGAACATGAAATTGCTAATAACTGTAAATTGACAATGTTGTTGGATTGGCGCAATCTCTTCCCAAGAAAATATGCATTTGCATTGCCCAAAGATTCACCATATTTGGAACATTTTAACAATGCAATTAAACAATTGAACAGTGAAGGTAAAATTGCCGAATTACGGCGAAAATATTGGGCAAATAATTGTGCAGAAAATAAGACCAAAGATGACAAAAATTAAAACCAAATTAAACACAATTAAAAACAAACAAACAAAATAAATTCTCTTATTAAAATCATAGTTTTTTTCTTTATTTATTTGAATTGAAATTGCAACAAAATAAAAAAAAAAGATTATTCAATACAAAATAGAAAGAAATGCAAATGATTTGAGCTTAAGTGGCAGAATAATAATTATTATGCTTATTTATTTTCGTCATGGTCAATCATCTAGAAATGGTGGTAAACCAAACAATTCGGGTTGAAATAATTTCAATGAATCCAATACCAAATATGGTTTGGATAATAATGATGATTGTTGTTGATGTTGTTGTAGATGATTTTGATGTTTATTTCGATCGAAACGATAATCAGGTATCCATACGGTTGTCATACCGGCACGATTTGCTGATTCAATACCGACTAATGAATCTTCAAAAACCAATATAGAACGATTGTTTTTTTGTTCATTTAAAAGATCATTATTATCAAAACGTTTGGCACATATTAAATAAGGCTGTGGATCGGGTTTACCGCGTGTTACTTCCGGATCTTCAGGAGTCATCAAAACATGATGAAATAATTGGAAAAGATTTTGATGGAATTTTGTATTCAATTCATATGTAAAACGACGGCTACCGGTTGCTATTGCGGTAGGAATTTTGAAACGATTAAAATGTCGTATTAAACGTTCGGCTCCGGGCATCAAAGGCACTGGTTGCAAATTAACAATATGACGATATTCTTCTTCAAATTGTTGCATAAATTCGGAAACACTGATAGGTAGTCGAAGATCTTCGACAATCATACGAGCAACAACCGAACCAGGTCGTCCAAGAATTTTTAATTTATCTTCCAATGAAAATGAACGGCCATATCGTTGAACAATTCGTTGTGTAGCTTGTTCATAAGCAAATTCTGTATCCAACAATAGGCCATCCAGATCGAATATCACATGTGTTATTCGAGGCATTTCTTCTACCGAAGATGAATTTTGTCCATCGTCGACATTATTATTATTATTTGTTATATTCATCACCTTCGTTGATTTTGTCGTCGTCGTCGTTGACGTCGACATGTTTGATTCGAAAAAAATGCTCAATTTTTTCTGATTAAAATCTAAATGATTATGATAATGGCAGTGATAATAATGATTACGATTATGATGATTATGGCAAAGATTTTTATTGGCGGTGAATGATGATGATGATAATTGAAAATTCCGTTGTCGGTAATATGGCTTTTGTTGTTGTTGTTGTTGTTGATAAGAACAATAATGGAAACTACGGAAAATAACTAAAATCAATAATGATGATGATGATCGACAACAACAACTACGATGAAAGTTGGTAGTGATGAACATTTGGATGAAAAAAAAATAAAATATTATACCGCCCCAACCAAATCACCAATTGTTGTTTTGAAAGAGGGAAATTAATGACAATTTTCATACAATTTAATTTCCCATTATTGATTGATTTGATTGATTTCTATCGAAAATCAAATTTCACAATGGGGTGTTGTTTTTCCATCAATATTTTTTTCTTTATTATTGTTTTTGTTTTTTTTTCATCGAATCAATAAATGAATCCAAGGATCATATGATAATGATTCTATCAAACAACAGATGGCATTACCTGAATTGATTATATAATTTGATATTTTTTTTTGGTTCGAAATTATTTACCTTGGATTTTTTTTTGGATTTCATAAAAAAATCCGATACGAATCATTCAAATTTTGATGGCCATGATCATGATCATCATCAATTATAACATTACATTTTGATGAATCAAAGAATATCAATATCACTGAGACAAAACATGATCAGAATACTGATTGATTTGGAAATTTTTCCTAGTTACCCGGTACATCAAAACAGAAACCAATCCTTTTTTTTGTTTGGTCCATATTAATAATCCTAATAACCATCATCGTTGTTTTGTCTTTATCCATTGACATATGTTCAGTTTTCTTGTTGGTTCTTTCTCTAAGTTTGTTGTATGTTGTCAATATTCAAAACAATCAAAATGCCATGGCTATATTAGCCGAGAGAAAACAAGAAAACAAAAAAAAAAAAAACATGGAAACAAAATGTCAATGCTGAATTTACCCCGAACACGATAAAATAATTGTCCTTTTTACTCTTACTTATATAGACTAATCATATTCATTAAATGTTTGTTTTGTTTTGTTTTTTGTTTTTTTGGGTTCTTTTTGATATCATCATCATTTATATTTCAAGATATTTCGATGGAAAAAAATAATTATTTATTTATCCCACTGAACCCAGAATAAAAACCAAAAAAAAAAAAAACAAATTAATAAATAAATCAGAGAAATAATATAAATATGATCCATATAATTTTGTTTTTGTTTTGTTCGGTCAATAAAAATACATAAATTAAAATGATGACGTATGATAAATGAATTTTTTTTTTGGGGGGGGGGATAAAAAAAATGGTCAATGTTATTTTGGCAATCCATTCAATTTCAATAGTATTTGTATATAGTATATACAAATTTTTGTACGTGATTTACGTTTTTGATAATAATAATGGTCACCATCATCATCATCATCAGCGATTCTTGTTTGAAAAAAAGAAAGGTATCCACGACGACGACGATTGATGACCAACAAACCATAGCCATGACCACGAAACACTACATAGACATAGGGAAAAAAACAGAAAAAAACATTGATGGTCAAGTCATGATTATTGTTATTATTATTAAAAATTTGTTGTAATTTCATGGTCATCATCATTATTATAATTCAAGTTACTACTGTTAAACGCATGCATGTTATATAACACATTTTTGTTTTTGTATGGTTATTTGGAGTTTATCCAGATTCATTATTGTTAGTTTTTTTTCAGGTTCCTTGAATTCTCAGGTTCAGGGTATATGTTGTGCAAGTGTTGTGTGAATGTTACAATGACAACGATGATTATTATGATTTTGTATGTCGATCAAGAAGATATCCTTAGAAATCGGAAATCATTTTCATCATTGGTTATCCCGGTTGGTTGTGTGTGTATTTCAATTTTGAATTTTTCTTGAGTTTTTAATGTACTTATGTTCTGAATTTGAATTATATTCACATCATTGATGTGGAGAAAAAACGGTTTTTTCTCGATCAACATTGTGATTTGATTTCATTGTTTTTTTTTTTGGTCAAAGAAAACTTCGAACAACATGATGATGATGATGATGAATGATGGAAACTTGTTGATTGATTCAATGAATGTTATGATGTCAAAAAAATCATCATCATCATTATCACCACCATCACCATTAACCGATGATTGTGATGGAATAATAAACAATACAATCAATACAAATTGTGGTTATTGTAATGAAGATCCATTAATATTTGCATTGAATTCAATGCGTCAAACAGGATCAACAACAACCATTTCTAAATCATTTCAACAACAACAACAAAAATCATTCAATAATGTTAATATTGTTGATCTTGATAATGATAATGATATTAAGAATAAAATCAATAATACAGATGATAATGATAATATTATCAAATCATCATCATATTATCTTTGTACGGTTACTTGTTGTGAATCAGAAAATTGTTGTTTCATTAACGATGTTCAACCAACAGCAACAACAACAACAACAACAACAGGAAAAAATCTATTACAAAATGATAATAATAATGTTGTTGTTTTGGATGGAAGAAAGCAGAAAAAACATTCAACATCATCATCAAATCAATCAACATCAGCAATCATAATGGATGATGATTGTTGTTGTGAATTATGTCAATCATCATCAATTACAAGTAATAATAATAACATTAATAAACAAAATCAATCAAAAAATCTAAGAATTTTATGGGCTGATACATTTGATGAACAATCAAAACAACAGCTTTCTGAAGAATTATCATTACCTTGTAATGGTAATAGTAGTAATAATAATCATTTAATAAATAAAAATGAAATCAAACAAATCAAAACATCAAAAGAGATTAATTATAAAAAATTAAAATTAAAATCATTAGCAAATAATAATTATATGATGGATGCTAATTATAATAATAATAATGGACAATTAAGTCCTGAAATGTCATCATCATCACCATTCGGTAATAATTCATCAAATACTGAATATACTGAAATATGTAATACACCGGATATACATCATGGTCATGGTCATAATCATCATCATTATCATCATCAAAATAATAAACCATCATCATCATCAATTATACAACCATTATTTAAACCAAATCAATTGAATAATAATAATCATCCAATACAATTGACACAGCTTGATTATCGTTTATATTTTATAAATGATGCTGAAAAACATGGTTTCTTTCGAAAAGCTGTACCAACATTACCATTAGCTATTGCTGTTTTATTTTGTATGCTAAATCTTTTACTGCCCGGTTCAGGTAAGTTATCGTTTTAAAATACTTATCATTTTTTTTAAATCACATATTTTCGTTATGTCTTTTTCGAATGTTAAAACAGGAACATTTTTAGCATCATTTGCAATTATTTTTGGTTCACAAACTGAATATGGATCCGGTTATGGTTATCAAGCATTTTTAATCTGTTTTCTATCATCATTATTACAATTTATTACCGCTATATTCGTATTCGGTTGGGTTTGGTCAATTATGTGGGGAATTGTTTTCATTAAAAGTTTGTTTTTTCAAAAAAAAATCCATATTAAATTTTAAACAAAAATTTTCATTTCAAATCTTAGATTCATTACGTTATGGCCAGAAACGTGACATTCATACGATAAGTCTTTGTTGATAATTTGCAACTGTTGTTATTGTTGTTATTTTTTCTGTGACAATAAAAAACATGTTTTTTCGAGCCTTTTGAATCAAACTATTTAAAAAGATCTGTGTGCCTTGTTCATTGATAATGATGATGATAAGAAAAATTGTAATATTTTAAAACAAACCTGAAAATAATTTGTGAAAATAAACGATATATTTATAAATAGCCAATGAAAGATTTTTTTTTAAATCCAAAAACGTGGTTGTTTTTTTTAAATATTTGAATTGAATGATCAAATGTCATTCGATTAGGAATGTTGATGATAAGATTTTTTTTTTTTTTTTGTTCGATATTGATTGAAATGACATGATAGTTTGTTTTTTTCATTTCGTACATAAAAAATTTTTTTTTTTTTTTGGCAACATTGAAAATTTGTTAATGTCACCCAATCAATAAATGATTATGATGATGATGCGAATGTCATTGAAAAATTTTTCGTTCTTGACCAATTCATTAAGAATTTCTAAAAATTCTATCATCAATTATCGTATGATGACGACATCATCAAAATATTTGGTTGAAGAAACTAAATATAATTTTCTTCGAAATTTGGGTATTGAACGTACCAATATCGGTGTCTTTACAAACGATTGGAAAGCTCATGGAAAGGTCAGTGTTGTTTATGGGAATTAAATGATTTTGGTTTGAAAATAACTTTTATAGACAATAACATCGATAAATCCATCCGATGGAAGGGTTATTGCTGAAGTTGTAACAGGAAATCTTGATGATTACAATGAAGCTGTACAAGAATCGCAAAAAGCTTGGCAACTATGGGCAGATATGCCAGCACCACAGCGTGGTGAAATTGTTCGCCAGATTGGTAATGCATTACGAGAAAAGAAAACTGATCTTGGGAAATTAATCTCATTGGAAATGGGCAAAATCCTGAGCGAAGGTGAAGGTGAAGTTCAAGAATATATTGATATCTGCGATTATGCTGTCGGATTATCTCGAATGTTGAATGGAAAAATTATACCATCAGAACGTCCGAATCATGTACTCATGGAAAATTGGAATCCATTAGGTACTGTCGGTGTTATTTCTGCATTCAATTTTCCAGGTTTGTTTATATTAAATAAGATAATCTATTTTACAATTAAACAACTATTTCTTTCCTCAAAACAGTTGCCGTTTTTGGTTGGAACAATGCCATTTCTTTGGTCTGTGGCAATACAACACTTTGGAAACCGGCACCAACAACATCGTTATGTGCGGTGGCTGTAACAAAAATTCTGGAAAAAGTTTTTAAAAATAACGGTCTTCAGGCATCATTGTGCACATTAGTTAGCGGTGATGTCGATATTGGTAAAGCTATTGCCAATGATAAACGTTTGCCATTAGTATCATTCACTGGCAGCTGTCAAGTTGGCCGTGAAGTAGGTGTTGCCGTACAACAAAGATTCGGCAAACATATTCTTGAATTGGGTGGTAATAATGCAATTATTGTTGATCATGATGCCGATATCGATATGGTCATTCGTGCTTCGCTGTTTGCATGTGTAGGTACAGCCGGACAACGATGTACAACTACAAGAAGGCTATTTGTACATGAAAATATTCATGATAAAATCGTCGAACGTTTAGCCAATGCTTATGGTCGTGTACGTGTTGGTGATCCATTGGATAAGGATACACTTTATGGTCCATTACATTCGGAACAAGCTGTTCAGAATTATGAAAAAACAATCAAAACTGCAATTGAATCGGGTGGAAAAATCATCCACGGTGGAAAACGTATGAATCGATCAGGTTTCTATGTTGAACCGACAATCATCACTGGATTATCACATGATTCACCAACGGTCCATACAGAAACATTTGCTCCAATTGTTTATATCATACCGTTTAAACAATTAAACGATGCAATCGCTTGGAATAATGAAGTTGAACAAGGACTTTCGAGTAGCATTTTTACCTCGAATCTTAGCAGCATATTCAAGGTTAATTTATCTATAATTGATTATATTGTAAATTATAATAATCAATTATCATTATGAAAATAGTGGACCGGACCAAAAGGTTCTGATTGTGGTATCGTCAACGTTAATATTCCCACAAATGGTGCCGAAATCGGTGGAGCATTTGGTGGTGAAAAAGTACGATGATTATGATGATGAAATTTTAATGTTGAATAATTTTTTTCTATTTGCATAAAGGCAACTGGAGGTGGAAGAGAATCTGGTTCAGATTCATGGAAACAATATATGCGAAGGTCAACATGTACAATCAATTATTCCAAAGAATTACCATTGGCACAGGGAATTAAATTTGAATAAAAAGAATTGTATTTTTTTCTCTCGTATAAATTATAAATAAAAAAAATTTATCTTTTATCTATTTTTATTTTTATTATTTTCATTACAAATCATTCGAAATATTTCATCATCAATAATACCTTCAATATAACGTTGTGTTGATATGAAACGTTTAACTTTGAATGTGATCGAATCACCAACATTTAGATTTGTACAAATATCTTCAATTTGTTCATGATCGAAAGTTTGACATTCGAATTTTATTGTCGCATCAATGCAGCCAGCAAATGAACAACCAATATATTCTTTACCGATTCTATTCAAATGATAAAGTTATTAATTTATTTTTGTTAGTAAGTTTTGGTCACAAAATTATAAATTAACAACAAACCTGTTGATAAAACTTTTCAATATCTGATTCGGTTGTACATTGAATATATGAAATTTTCCTCGAATTTTCCAATATATAAATGGACTATCATCGATTATTCTTCCGGTATCAGTCAGAAATTCAATGTCATCAAAACGGATTAGGATACCATTTAGACTGAATAATTTAGAAGAAAAAAATATGATTATTTTTCATTGATTCAAGTTTGTCCACAATTCATACTCTGGATTATATTTGAATTTTCGCTGTTTCAACAATTTATTCACACATGATTCTTCACGGCCCATGAATTGTGGATAAAGACCAATATCCAATTCTTTTGTCACTATTTTTGTCAATGAATCACCATCGATAATTTCGGATACCATTTTTTTTTTTCAAAAACAAATCGTGTTTGCATCGAAGAAATTCTCATCACGTGTTCGACAAACGATACAATCGATATTTGATAAACATCGATCTATTTGAATCATTTTTCACCGGTTTCTTTCGGTGAATGAATTTTTTAAAATCAATTTTTCTTTTGAAAAAATTATTATTATTATTAATTTGTTTGATCATGATAAACATTTAAAAACAAAAACAAAATATTTTGCCATAAAGAGAAAAAATCTTTTCTCTCCGGTTCGCAATATATATTAAAGAGAATTTTGATGATCAAATATTGATTTTCATTGTCGAATATCGATTTTAGAATCGTATAACAGGAAAAACTTTGATTAATTTCGCCAAAAAAAAAAAAAAATGAAAAGAAAAAGAAAATCAAATAAGAGTTTTGTTTCGTGTGTACTGAGTACCTAAATAGTGGATAAAAAGTTTCTGGATTTAAATGACCAAATTTGAAATTTGGCTGAAAAAAAATCAACGATAATAATGTTGTGTTGAAGGAGGAAGAGAGGTGAAAGAAAAACAAATTCAAATCTTTTTTTTCCCAAAATAAAATAATGATAATGACCATTGATAATAAGATAAAGTATTCTCAGAAAAGTTACACATAATATAGAATTTATCGACAATTGATAACAATTAAAATTGATTCACAAAAAAAAGTATTTGTTTGTTTTTGTGGATGTGTGTATGTGTGGATGATAATGTTGATGATGATAAAAAGGAATCTTTTTGTTTCCAATTCTCTTAATTCGATAAACTACTGTCAGTTGTATCCATAATATTTCCACTACAACCACCAGTATTAATCTTTTCAATCAGATCAATAATCTTAAGTGAATAGCCCAATTTAACGCCCAAAAATTTCATCATTAAATCATGATTGTCAAGTAGTAGAAATGCGTTACCGTCAATTTCCTATTTAAAATTGAAAAAATTGAAAAAGAAAAATAAAATTTTTTGAAATAAATCGATCAAAAAAAAACTTACATGAGATCGAAAATTTTGTTCAAATTTATGAAATTCTGGAAAACGTATGTTCAAAAATTCCAACAATTCATCCACTGACCAATGATCAACAATTTCTCTTGTTGGCAATTCATTTGCATATCGTTTCATTATCATTGACGATGATGATGATTGATTATTCATTACAATATTATTATCATTGTTGTTATCGTTGTTATTTTGGCCATTAACAAAATATAATGGCAATTTAGCCGGTTGTGTCATTTCTACCAATTTATTATTTTTTCGAATCGGTTGTTGCTGCGGATGATCATGATCTTGATTCGGATGTTCATTATTTTGATTATGGCCATTTCCAACAATGGATTTTCTAGCAATCTTTTTCGATGTCACAGGCGTTGATGTTGATGAACATTGATCTTCATCTTCTGGTGAACGTTTTACCGCAGCATTCATTAATGGAATTTCCATTGATTTTAGATTTGTTGACATCGTGGTTTTTGTAGTTGTCGCTGCAAATGAAAGCGAGGCACTGGAATTTTCTAATTTATTATCTGTACCATGATTATTGTATTTTTCTTGTTGATGATTATGATGATGATGATGATGATTATGATGATTATTCTCACTATGTTTACGTTTATTAATATCAATATTTTTTGATGATTTTATGGAAGAATCTGATGCTAATGTCAATGATGATGGTGATGGTAATTTGGAAGCTGTCGATGCTAATTTTCCTGACGATGATGATGACGATGAATTATTATGATGATCCGATAATGAAATGGAATTAATCAAAGATTTTCGGCTATTATTATTATTATTATTACTGTTGTTGTTTGGTTTTGTTTGTTGTTGTTGAAAATTTTCATTCACTAATTTATTAGTATTATTCATCATTTGTTTTTTCGACGAAATATCAATCGATGTCGATGTTGATGATGATGATGATGATGATGTTATCGATTGAATTTTGTGATCATTATTCTTGTTTTGATTATGATTATGATGATGAGGAATATGATTCTGATTAATGGACATTTTTTTCACACTTTCTTCATCACCAACGACGGTTGATTCAACTTTGATCGTTTTATGTAATGAAGAATCAACTTCATGATGATTCTGATGAACTTTATTATTATTATGATTATTGTTCGAATGAATAGCATTATTATTATTATTAGTTTGTTTACAAGGGTTTAAATCATTTTGTCTAATACTTGTATCGGATTGTTGTTGTTGTTGTCGTTGTTGTTTTTTAGTATCAATTTCATATTCAACTAAAATTAAAAGAAAAAAAAATATCATTAAAAAAAAGAAAGTTTATCATCAAAACAATTTACCTTTCGGTCCAGGTAATTGAAGAATGTGGCCAGTTTTTTTACACCAACCAACGGGAAAAAGATGTCGTGAATGATAAGGACACTTATAATCATTATTATTATCCCAACCATCCAGATGTATCTCTACATCCATATTATCAACACTTTTTATTGTTGCTGGACAAATATTTGATGGATGTTTTTTATCCACTGCTTCTAATTTCATACCGGGTTCAAAATAATTTCTTTCTGGACGTTTTGGTGGTGATTTAAAACATCGTTCTGGTGCATAAAACGAATTTTTTAACACTTGTTTACAGAAACTTGCATATGTTGCCGCATCTCTACGAAAACGTAATGGTGCAGCAAAAAAACGTCCTTTTGATTTATAAGTACCGATTGGACTTATTGCTTCAGAATCGACTAGTTCGAAAAAATCATTTGCATTGTCACAACCATCCAATCGTAGCTGCAAACGTGGACCCATATAGCCAACAACAGTAGCTAAATGTACAAAATCATGACTATCCGGACTAGATACTTCAAGTTTTTGATTGATTTTAAATTCATTATCTGGTGGATCTAGATGATGATTAAAATATTGGGCTGGTGCTGGTCTTCCCGGACAAACTTTTAGATAATCATCCCAATCAAGGCTACGAATTATTCGATTATTATTTTTCTTTGTAATGTTTGGTGTTGTTTTCATATCATTAGCACCAATAACAACATCCGACACATGGCCATCACCATTACCATTTTGTTGTTCCATGGCCGAAAATTTCTAAATTTAAAAAAAAAATTATCAAAACAATGAATTTCGATTATGATTTTACTAACTTTTAATTATGAATATTTGAAAATTGATGCTGACATTCATTCATCAAGTTTCTTTTCTTTTTTTTAAAAATTCTTTTGGCAAACGTTTTTTTATTGTTTATTTCTGGATTAATTCAACATTTATTGTTGTCTGTGATGATTGAGTAGAGATGATTTGGCCGATATAAACAAAAAAAACAAACTAAAACGATAGATGAAAAATGAATTAAACAAAACAAAAAAAAATGGATTAGACACTATTTCAACCGGTTGTGGAAAATTAAACAATCTCTTCCTTTTGGAATTTCAAAATTACTGTGAAAATAGTGTGCGTGTCAATAAAAAAAAAAAAGATTCGAAATTCGAAAATCAGATCGAAGAAAAAATTTTAAACAAATTGAATTCGATTAAAATCAAAAACAACAACAACAAAAAAAAGAGTTGATATTTTTAACAAAGATTATTAAAAACTAATTTTGATGTTTTCTCAAAACAAACAAACAAACAAACAAATTTCACTTGTAAAAAACAAACATGAAAAATGTTTTAGAGAGAAAAAAAGGGCGATCCAAAATTCAATAAAACATTATCATCATTTTTTGATGTAACTCTTTTTTTCGCTCTCTCTCTCTCGCACTTCTGTAATTGCACAGATGTTACAAAATTTCAATTGCCGATAATTTTGTTACAACATTCTTTAAAAAAAATTTAATATTTTGTTTGTTTTCTTCAACACCAATCAAATCAATCAAGTTTTAATAACAGAGATGAAAGAAAACGGTGAAACAACAAAATACTTTTTCTCAATTTGATTGTGATTAACGAAAGAGACATGTGTGTGTGAAATGAATATATGAAAAAAATCTTCAAAATATCAAATGGTAAATATCCTATTCATTTGTGATAATGATAATAATTAATATATTCGATGTGTAAAGGATTCACCATTCACTCTGTTGTCAAAACTGCATCGCATATACATTTGCACACTATAAAATATCATCTGAAAACATCATTTTCAATATTGAGCAATTATGCAAACGAAGTAATCATCAATGTAATAAAATGAAAATTATGCTGTTGTTGTTGTTGTTGTTGTTGTTGTTTGTGAATCCATTACCAAAACAAAAACAACAATGCAGATCATGCGCTTATCTTTATCAAGTAAAAATAATAATAAATGTATAATTACAAACCTTTAAATTACAAAAAAATAAAAAAAATTCACTTTATATAAATTCAAATTGAATTTTAAACAAGTTTTTTTGTTGTTGTTGTTGTTCACATTAACACCGAAAAAAAAACAGAATTTAAAACATCAAACGAATTAAAAGAATGATGATCAAATCAATTTAAAAAAAAACAAACAAAATCATTTATGCGGCACGCGCCGGATCCAAAATATATCATCATCGATTACATAAGAAAATTGAATAACATGCTGCGGGAGCTATATCACTCCCAGATTTTTTTCTTCTTCTTCGGATTGCGCCAGTTATTATGTCGACAATGAATTCTTTTTTCTTTTTCTTGTTTTGTTTTACATTGTTTAAATTTTTCTTTTTCGTTGTTATTTAAAATAGTTGATATTCAAGTGTGTGCAATGATGCGTTGGACGTCTGTCTGTTGTTTCGATTATTGTTATTGATGATGAATTATATTTTGATAATGGAGATCTACTGGCTGACTGGATACTTTTTGTTTCGTCGTTGTTGTTGTTGTTGTCTTGATTCTCTGGTTAGGTTGATGAGTGAAAGAGTTAAGTTGTTTTTTTTATTTTTTGGTTCGTTTGTGATGTGATGTTCGTGTGGTGTATATAACTTTTTTTCAGTTGGATGATGAGACGGCGAGTACCGCGAGCTTACATTCAGTATATTATTCAAGCTTGTCAATTTTTTTCTTCACTTGGCGCCATCATGATGCCTATAATAGTGTGTGTTTCAGTTGTTGTTATTTTCCAACTTTGTACACAAACACACACAGCAGCTATAAACACTCGTTATAGGTCTTGTTCATATAGTACGATTACGAAACTTTTTTTAATTAAATGTTAAAATTTTGTCTATTTTTTTCAAAATGATTTTTAAAAAATCTCAATTTTATAGATTATTTTTTTCAATAATGAAAAAAATCAGATTGAAAATCGATTAGAAATCAATTGATTTTGTAGAAATTATTGATTTTTTTCCATTTATTCTTGAGTTTTCTATTCGAAAAAAGAGAGACTGTCATTTATGAATTGGATCCTCGAAAGTCCTTTCGATCGAACGCGAGGTTAAGTTGTTAAAGTTTGGTCATTCAATTCACTGTGTGAGTTGTGTTTGGTTTGGTTTTGTTGATTTGGAATTTTGTTGATAATTTATCGAATAATAAACAAATAATTTTCGAAAAGAAAAATGTCAAAATTAGCCGCTAAAATTCCCGTTCTTATGGCTGGTAAGATTTGTTTAATTTTTATCTTAATTTTTTTTTTAATCAAACAAAACAAAAACTCATTACATTTAGCCGCAAAGCCAAAACTTCGTGAATTTAATCGTTTTGCTAAAACAGAATTATATCCACCAACACCAGCTGATATACCTGCAATTGTAAAAGGATTTTCTAATCTTGTAAGCGGTACAATGTCGATGCGTTGGACACGATTACCAGTCAAAGAAGCATGGCTTAATACATTGATCGGTATTGAAGTTATGTGTTGGTTTTTTGTTGGCGAAGTTATTGGAAAACGAAACCTAATTGGTTATAATGTCTAAAATAAATAAATAAACAAACAAATTATCATTATAGTTGTAAAATCAATAGCCAATTATGTTATTTCAGAATTTTAACAACATTTCAAAAAATAAAAGAAATAAAGAATTCTTATTAATGCAATTTTTGTCATTAAAAAAGGGTATTCTTTCATTATTATTATTCCTCGATCTAATTATTTGAATTTTTCCATTCCTTATTCGATATTTATATCGATTTTCGATTTTTTTTTTGAAGGAAATTTTCGTTTAGAATTTACCCTAATTTTTTTTCCTTACAATTCTTTGATTCTGCGACAAATTCTGTAATTACACTGCTAACAGTGGAAGTGGTTGTGGTTGTTGTCAATGGTTGGTGATCCAAAATTCCAGAATCATTGACCACTACTATACCTGTCGAAATTGTAAAAAAATCTACTATTGATTCTGTGTTTGACTATAGAATGTTGCAATGTATTTGTTTTGATGAATTCGTCATGTTAACACTGCAGTTTATTTTTCCTTTCGGATGACGATGATGAAAATTCCAAAGTAGCACGAAAAAAACGCATCGATTCAATTATTGTTTTTTTTTCTAATTCAAAGATTTGGATAAAGCGCGCGCTTATATTCATCTTTTTTAATACGTAAAAATTTGTGTGTTTTGAATTTTCTGTTGTTGTTGAAAACATTTCAAATGTAAAATGGCATTTGCAATATATTTACGTCATCAACGTGATTTTCAACCTGAACATCCACAAATTTTGGAAAAAAATATTAATGATCCAAATGTACGATTTACATTTGTTGATTTTATACCAGGTGTTATTAAACCTGCTGGTTCTGTTATGTCACAATCATCGGTTGAATATCATTCATTCAGGTATTGTTACATTTTTTTTTCTATTTAAACCCTTTAAATCATTCAAAAAAACAAAATGTCCAAATGACTTTCGATTTTCTTGATTTGTATTCAAAGAAGAAAAAAATTCTTATTCATTTTTATTTTCCCACATTGTGGCTTATGTGATAAGTGTCGGGCGTGTGTGTGTTTTTCTTTTTTGCATTTTGTTTTCACTGTTAACACTGCAGTGTTTGGAATAAATAGAATATTACTGAAACTTATTTTTATATGACGACAACAACAAGAAAGAGAAAATTAAAAATATGATGAGAAAATAAAACGAAAAAGTATTCATTATAAATAATTAATACCTATGAATATTGTATACACCATAGAAATAAAACCAAACAAGAATATTCTATCAAACCGACCAACAACAAAAAAAAAATCAGCAGCAGGCGTTATATCATTGTTTTGTTTCAATTTTTCAGATTTGATTTTTTTTTTTCGTAGTTTATTTCATGGGTGAAGAATAATTCTTATCATTTGTTATTATTAGCAGTTGAAATTTATGAATAATCACAAGGTGAAGAGAGAGAGAAAGAGTCAATCAAAACGGAAATCCAGATTTTTTCCTCTCTTTATACATTGTGTATAATGACTTTGAATTTGTGTGTGGGCGGTTTATGTTTTTATTTTTTTGTTTGAAATTTTCAGTTTTGAATTGCAAATGAATTATTGAAATATCAAAGAAACAGAATAAAAAAAACCATTAGCCAAAACACCAAATCCTTTATATTTTCGCAAATGTTTCAAAAACAAAAAATTCATTGCTTTTTTTTCAATTTTTTTATTTCGGGATTGGAAAGTACAATGATTAAAGTTGCCAATCAATGGCTACAAAATCATCATGATGAATGGGAATTTATAAATGGTGAAACAATAATCATACCAATCAAATATAATGATCAAAATCAATGTTATGAATTAAAAACAAATGATTGTTGTTATTATATTTATGGTTCTGAAACGAATAATGTTTTACGAGCATTTAGGTAATTAATTTTTTGTTTTATCATTTGAATTATTTAAAAATGACTTTTTGACAAAATTTATTAACAAAAAAAATAGACTTTGGATACGAAGACGACGACGACGACAGTTACACAAACGACAAAACAATCAACAAATTTGGTAAATTTTTTTTGAATTTAATGAATTTGATTTTTAAAATTACTTAAAATTCTTCATTGAAAAGCTTCAAAGATATAATACCACGAATGAAAAATGATATTACATGTGAATTTGAAGATCTTGATGATGTTATTAAACGTTTTAATGATGAAATTATACAGAATAATGGTTTTGATGGTCGAATTCTGGCAATTGAAAGTGCAAGCTATGATGCTAATCTTGAATGGGAAATTAATACTGAACAAACATTATCAATATTATCAACAAAAAATCTATTTATATTAAGAATTTTTTATGAAACATTAAATAATGATAATCAAGAAAAATTATTAATACAAATCGGTATTGAAGATTTTCATCCACGACAATTAACAAGATCAACATTTTTTCGTCGTCCAAAATTTGAATGTTTTGATCAGGTTATTGAACGTGGTTCATTATGGTTACGACAACAAACGAATCAACAACGACAACGACAATTTTTAAATGCACAATCATTGGATGTTAAAATGAAATCCAGTATGTTTGCGTCAATTCGCGATCTGATTAATCAAATCATTAATTTTTTGTTCGTTTATTTTATAACTAGCCAATCCAAAAAATGGTAGCAGATCAATGGCATTCACTGAACATGGTGCCTATATGCGTATATTTCGTATTTGTTTCTTTGAATCAATTGAATCAGAATCATCAATATTACAACAGCAGCAACAACAACAGCAATCATCATCACCACCACCAATGATTAATCTTGGCAATCGATTATTTACACCAACTAAACGAACCGATACAATTACCGATATTGTACAACAATTACATGATTGGATTAAACATTATACAGGTAATTTTTTCCCACTTCAAATATAATGAATCAATTGATTTTAATCGAATATTTTCTGATTGATGATGTAGAAAAATTACGATTACGACAGAAAACATTGGATGATATGGATGAAATAATGATGATGACTAAAGAATCATCATCATCATCATCACCACCATTAATCAACGATGATGTTGATGATGATCGTATATTATCAGCTGAAACTGTTGAAATATTTATGAAAGAATTACCAACAAATCGTTCGGATATTGAACGTGCTGCAAATGATGATACATTTCTTGTCAATCGTTTTGGTAATAAAAATGCTTATCTATTTTTTTCATTTCGTTTATTTTATGATTCAACATTAACAATGATATCGGATTCGATTACAAATATGACAAATTTAAGTGAAACAATGTCAACTATTAGTAGTAATGCAGATTCATCATGGACAATCGATATATGTTCCAATGATAATAATAATAATGATGATGATGATGATGACGATAAACAAACGGATCAAAAATCATTACTATCGGAATCGACAATAACAACAGAATTTTCTAAAATATAAATTATTGAAAGTTTTTTTTTGGTTCTCATATTAATATAATAAATAAAAAGGATTTTTTAATTAAGAAAATTAAATTTTTTTTTCATTTCCATTTTGGATCCATTAGATGGCACCAAATGTTTCCAACTCGACTTCAAATTGATCGCGTGTTTATTTCAATTATTATTTTTTTTTTTTCAAAATAACGCCAACGCATCATCATTAGAATTGGATTGATTTTCTTAATAACTGTCATTCATTTCAAATAACCAAGTAACCAATTTGTTACCATGGTCAATATTATTACTGCAACAATGATTGTCAATAAAACATTATTATTAATGATGATCATTAATTTAATGTTGACCATTGGTGAAGCTGCTGTTGAACAATGTCAAAATTTTGGTGGAAGCGGTTTGGATGTTTATCCACGTGAAGGTCGTCTTCATCCAGGCGAAAGTTCACATCGGCTTCATTGGTCAAAAGCACAAAGTATAAATAGGATTGAAAATGAAATTGTTTTTTTTTGAAAATCTATTTAAATAACAAAAATTCATTTCAGTTATGAAACCTGCACCATATTGGGAAGGAACGGTCGTTGTTTCGGGTGATCTAAAAGAAATGAATCTTACACAATTTCGAGGCAAATATCTTGTATTCTTTTTCTATCCATTAGATTTGTAAGTTGGTTGATTCTGTTCTGTCCGAATGTAAAAACTGATTTCAATGATTTCTAATTTTTAAAGCACATTTGTATGTCCAACTGAAATCATCGCATTCAGTGATCGTATCAAAGAATTTAAAGCCATTCAAACTGAAGTTATTGCCTGTTCTGTTGATTCACCTTATACACATTTAGCATGGATAAAAACTTCACGTAAACAAGGTGGACTTGGACATTTAAACATTCCATTGTTATCCGATCAAACACATCAGATTTCCAAAGATTATGGTGTCTATGTTGAAGATTTGGGTCACAGTCTTAGGTAAATGAACAAATTCAATGCCAAAAAAAAGAAATAATGATAATAATACATTCGAATTACAGAGGACTGTTTATTATTGATAAAAACGGCATATTGCGTCAGATCACAATGAATGATCTACCAGTTGGTCGATCAGTTGATGAAACATTACGTTTGGTACAGGCATTCCAATATACTGATCAACATGGTGAAGTATGTCCGGCAAATTGGAAACCTGGATCGGAAACAATTATTCCTGATCCTAAAGACAAATTAATTTATTTCGAAAAATTCGATGATTCTAAATCCGAACTTTGAGCTTTGTTTTTATTTTCAAAAAAAAAAATATTCTTTTCAAAATTTGCTCACTGATCTGTTTTGTCGCAAATAAAATCTCAATAATCGATTGGACCATAAATTTTTCGGGCTAATACCAATTCGTTTTGACTCAACAATATCTTCTTGTTTGATTATAAATCGATCATCATTATGTTCTAACCAAATTGATTGATCGGTTATGATATTTTTTCGATTCATCGATTGATCAATATTGAATGCAATACATAATTTGGATGGACCATTTGCTAATAGATATGGTTTGGATTTAAATTGTTTTAGATTACCCGATGCCTTTGGATGTTTTTGACGTAATTCAATCATTTTATCAATGGATTCTTCGGTTGGTTCAACAGCACGTATGAGAACAGCACCACCATTATCTTGACTAGATAAATTGAAACAATAATACATTCCATATATAAGTCGTATGAAACAGGTACCAGCAGGCATATACATTGGTTCATTAGCATTAGTTCGACGACCACCAAATGTATATGATGCATGATCTTCAGGTCCAACGTATGCTTCGGTTTCGACAATCATACCTTTCAATTGAACATTATCATCAATTTGACGACATAAAAATTTACCAAGTAAATTTCTAGCCAATTCAATTGTTGTGAATTGTGTAAAAAATTCTTGCTGTAAACGTTGATCTGATTCCGTTTTGTCTTCATCTTTGTTCGATTGTTCGTTTTGAACAAATTGATCGTATGATCGTTTCATAATTAAATTGATTTGTCAAAAACAAAATTCATTTAAATATCCTGAGCGTAACGATATTTAATGACAGCTGTCTATTGATTTTATTCGCATGTCTCGATTTGATTTGAGTTTTTTTTGAAATTTTTGAAATTTTTTTAATTAAATTTAATTTAATATTCGATAAGAAAAATGTCGCGATCATATGATCGTCCGATGACCCACCAAGAATATTTGAAATTAAAATATTCATCACAGGATGATTATGAACGTAAACCAAAGAAAAAGAAATTGAAAACATCTACATCGAATGTCAAGCAACCAACGTAAGTTTTTTTTGCTCAGCTCATAATTTTCATTTTAATTTTATCATTTCATTTTCTTTGTAGTGTTTCCATTATCGATACAGACGTTGATTTTCGACAACAAATAAAACGATATGATAGTGATGAAGAAGAATTATATTTTGGTACCAAAGAAGAAAAACCAATCGTTACGGCTGTGATTGATGAACGTCCCATTCATATGCGTACCGATTCTGCTGATCGAACTAAATGGAAAGCAATCGGTGGTGATACAGATTCTGATCGGGTTAAATCGCCTGAATTACCCGAACAACAACAACAAAAAACTGAACGCAAAACATTGGCCGGTAAAAAAGCCGGTCTTTCAGATGCGAAAGAAATTAAGAAGGAATTAGTTGAATTGAAGAAAAGAAATGAAAAAGCAATGAGCAAATTAAATGATGATATATCTGGCAAGAATGCTAAAACAGTATTTCGTGATCGAAAAACAGGTAAAATACGTGAAATCGAGAAAGAATTGAAAGAAAAACAGGAAAAAGATGAACAAAATGCTATCGAACAGGCTGAAAAACAAGCAGTCTATGATCGATGGTCAAAAGGCCTGGTACAACGCGAAGAACAATTGGAAAAAATGGAGAGTGAATTACACGAAATGTCAAAGCCATTAGCACGTTATAAAGATGATGATGATCTTGATGAATTATTACGAAATCAAGATCGTCAAGATGATCCAATGTTGGCCGAAATAATGAAAAAACGTGAAGAGGAAAAAAGTCAAGATCCAAATTATAAAAAATTTCCCAAATATCGTGGTCCACCACCACCACCGAATCGTTTTGATATTAAACCAGGATATCGTTGGGATGGTGTTGATCGTTCGAATGGTTATGAAGCAAAATATTTTGCTAAAAAAGCCGATCGTGAAGCTATTCAAGAGGAAGCATATCATTGGAGTGTACAAGATATGTGATCAATTCATTTCTTCAATACCATCATCATTATCATTGACCATGATTTTTTTTAAATATTTATTTTTTATCCAAAATATTCTGTAAATAAATCAATTTATCAAACTAAAATTAAATTCTAAAAATCTTAAATCCTGCCATCTATAAATCGAAATCGAAATGTTGTCCGATTATATATCAGGACACATTATACCACAACATTGAACTTTGCTTCCAAATATTTTCAATGGGGAAAAAAAATTTAATGTTAATTGTTCAAAACAACATTGGGGTTTGGTTTGGTTTGGTTTGGTTAGATCGACCAATATAGATGATACCACTACTGTTGTTGTTGTTGTTGTTTTTGACATAAAAAAAACGAAGAAGATTCTATCGGCAAAAACGGACGCTGACGATATTTTATATTATAGCTCCCTATATTATTATCATCATCATAATCATCCAATCGAAATCCATCACATACAACATCAAATATAATCATCATCAACCCAGCGGAAAACCAAGGGAGCATTATCGCACACACACACTGACAATAACTCCCAATTTTGTACTTTTTTCCCTCATCATTGTTGCTGTGTGTCCCAAAAAAAAGAAACGAGCTGAATCTTTTTCAATTTTTGATTTTGATTAAAATTCTTTGATTTTTTTTCTACTGGAACACCTGATCTTCGAAAACTATTACTTTGATTCCGAATCATTTCAATTTTCTTGATCTAATAAATTATTTCCATAGTCATCCGAATTTCATCAAACTTTTTGATTGACTGTTTGATTGATTGAAATATTTTTTCTTTTACAAAATTCATCATTATTGTTTATCATCATGGTAATGTTTTTATTTTGTTTAATTTAAAATGTGAAAATGTTAACTTTGAAATTGTTTTTTTTATTTTTTCAAATTCGATTTTTCATCAATAAAACATTTATTGATTGTGGTGATATACGCCCACTTCTTTCAATCTTGTCTAATAGACGACAGAAATTGATTTAACTGCCGGTTTATTACCGAAAATCGCCGATGCTAAAGAATCCGAATTCGGTTATGTATTTGCTGTATCGGGACCTGTAGTTACGGCCGAAAAAATGTCCGGTGCTGCTATGTATGAATTGGTACGTGTTGGTCATGATGAATTGGTTGGTGAGATTATTCGTTTAGAAGGTGATATGGCTACCATTCAGGTGTATGAAGAGACATGTATGTTTTCTGTTTAATTGTTTATATGCAACTTTGATTTTAAAAAATATTTTTGTTCATAACATAGCTGGTGTCACTGTCGGTGATCCGGTATTACGAACAGGTAAACCATTATCCGTTGAACTTGGTCCCGGTATTATGGGTAGTATATTTGATGGTATACAACGACCATTGCGAGACATTCATGTGCTCACCGATAGTATCTACATTCCAAGAGGTGTTAATACAACTGCTCTAAGCCGTACGGTTAAATGGGATTTTATGCCACAAAATGTTCGTATCGGTTCGAATATTACTGGTGGTGATATTTTTGGTTTCGTTCCGGAAAATACATTGATCAAACATAAAATTATTCTACCACCAAAAGCCCGTGGTATTGTTACTTATATCGCTGAACCGGGTAGCTATGATTTGAATGTAAGTAATTATTCGATGATCCGAATGCAAATCAGTTTAATTAATTTCTTGTTTATTAAATGTTCGTAAAGGATGTTGTTTTGGAAACCGATTTCGATGGACAAAAAACCAAATATACTATGTTGCAAATATGGCCCGTACGTCAAATGCGTCCAACTGCCGAAAAATTGGCTGCAAATCATCCACTTTTAACTGGTCAACGTGTACTTGATGCATTATTTCCATGTGTTCAAGGTGGTACCACTGCCATACCCGGTGCATTTGGTTGTGGTAAAACTGTCATCTCTCAAGCATTATCCAAATATTCGAATAGTGATGTTATCATCTATGTTGGTTGCGGTGAACGTGGTAATGAAATGGCCGAAGTATTGAGAGATTTTCCACAATTAACTGTTGAAATCGATGGTAAAACTGAATCAATTATGAAACGAACAACATTGGTTGCCAATACATCGAACATGCCTGTAGCTGCTCGTGAAGCATCCATCTATACTGGTATCACATTAGCCGAATATTTTCGTGATATGGGTTATAATGTATCTATGATGGCTGATTCAACATCTCGTTGGGCTGAAGCATTGCGTGAAATTTCTGGTCGTCTAGCTGAAATGCCTGCCGATTCAGGTTATCCAGCATATCTTTCGGCTCGTTTAGCTTCATTTTATGAACGTGCTGGCCGTGTTAAATGTATTGGAAATCCATTACGTGAAGGTTCAGTATCGATTGTTGGTGCTGTATCACCACCGGGTGGTGATTTCTCAGATCCTGTTACATCGGCTACACTTGGTATTGTACAAGTATTTTGGGGTTTAGATAAAAAATTGGCACAACGTAAACATTTTCCATCGATTAATTGGCTAATTTCATATTCAAAATATATGCGTGCATTAGATGATTTTTATGATCGTAATTATCAGGAATTTGTTCCATTACGTACAAAAGTAAGTTTCACCTTTTTTAATCTAATAATTCTAAAAAATTGAATTTTATTGTTTGTTTTCGCTGGTTTAGTGTTCACAAATTTTGCAAGAAGAAGAAGATTTATCTGAAATTGTACAACTAGTCGGTAAAGCATCATTAGCCGAAACGGATAAAATTACATTAGAAGTTGCTAAAATTATTAAAGAAGATTTTCTACAACAAAATGGTTATACACCATATGATCGTTTCTGTCCATTTTATAAAACTGTAGGAATGATGAAAAATATGATCGGTTTTTATGATTTAGCTAAAAATGCTGTCGATTCAAATAAAGGCGATAATCGTGTAACATATGCAATGATCAAAGAAGCAATGAATGATATTATGTATCAATTAAGTTCAATGAAATTCAAAGTAAGTAGAAATTTTTATTATTTTATCTGAAATTATTTAAAATTTTAAATGAATTTTTTTTTAAATAGGATCCGGTTAAAATGGGTGAAGCTAAAATTAAAAAAGATTTTGAAGAACTTTATGAAAATATGCAACAAGCATTTAGAAATCTTGAAGATTAAATTAACCATGTCTTGTCATAACGGGCAGCGAGTAACAACAACAAAAAAAAATCCATATTCCAAAGCCAATAATTTTTATTTATTATCTATTCATGAAGAAAATATATTTGTAAATCCAATGATTAATCGCTCATTTAATAATCGGGAAAAATATTGTTAATTTTTTTTTGTTTGTGGAAAACCACCCGATAAAGATAAAGAGAAAATGTTCATAGTCAATTTTTTGTTTCCCACTAAAAATTGTTGCCTAATTTTTCCCTCCATCATTATTATTCCATTCATTTTTTTCCATTCATTTGATTTTATTTGTTATATTCTAGATGAAACAAAAACGAATTCATTTCGTTTTCATTCGTTTGTGTTTGTTTGTGTTTGTAAATTTTAATTTTATTTTTTGTCTCATTATCATCATCATCATATCGCATGATATCATTCAAACAGCTTTGTAGTCATCAATTTGAATTTGTGGTTATTTTTTTCAAATTCATTCATTCGATGATAATTTGTTTATCAATTGATTGAACATGAATATAACCATATAGAATCACAACAACAAAAAAAATTGACCAAATCGTTTGCTTTTGTTTTTCTTTCTGAAGATCATCATTCCATTTGCTTTTTCAAAAAAAAAAATCATATTGTGATTATTGAATGAAAAAAAATATCATTATTGTAATCATTTATTCTTTAAAAAAAAATTATAATCTAGATAAAATTATAAATTGTGATTTGTGTTTGAATTGAATACGTGTTCAATTTGGTTTCAATATTTATTACATCAGGCTGTATTTGCTTCAATTAATTTTCCATTTAAAAAGAACAGCTATATTGTATCAAATTATAATGATAATGAACAAAAAAAAACAGAAGATTCATTAACAATATGACCACATTTTTTTCCCAATGATAATTTACCAATTAATTAGATGTTCAATCGACGGCAACAATGATGTATATTTTTACCAGAATAGCACAGATGTTTACAATAATTTGTTTCGATTTGTAAATCTTGTTTATTCCGAATGATATTAGAATAGTGACAAAACAAAAAAACAACAACAACAACAATTATATAATCAATAATCAATGAAACAGAACATATTTTGGTAACCAGCATAGAATATTCTTTCTTTTTCATTCATTCAATTAAATATCATAACATTTTCACAATAATAATCATTATCATTTGTTTTGTTTTTTTTTCGCACAAAAATGATCATCATAATTAATAATTATTGTTGACAGGTTTTTTTTCTGTTGTTGTTGTTGTACGATCGATATTGATTGGGAATGAATTTGTTTGAAAATGATAATGAATATCGATAATGATTATGTTTTTTGGTTGTCGATACATTTAGTGTTTTTTTTTGTTGATTTCTGATCATTTGAAATTTTTTTCTTAAAATTTTAACAAAAAAAAATTATTATTCCTTGACACTGTATCATACGCTTTACGCTTAATCGCTTTATTGATGCTAATGCAATACAAAACAAAAATTCTCTTTCTTTCCATATTTCATTCATCAATTTTTTCTATTCTTTCATTATATCGTTTGCATATCCAAAAATATATTCTATTTCGATTCTCAATGTGTGAATGAGAAAAAAAAATGAATAGAAAATTCTTCATTAGAGAAAAAAGTTTTATTTTCATCATCATCATCATCATCAAACTTGACGGAAAAAAGAAAGAATAAAACTTGCAATGATAATAATAATAATAATGGTTACCTTTATACAATCCGCCTATATACAATGTGTATTGGCATTGTTTGATGATGGAAATTCTTTTGCTAAATATACACATAGATATGCAATAACAACAGCAATCAGGAAAAAAAAGAATGTACCGAATATTTGATGCTGGAAAAAAATCAACACACATACACACATCGACAATCGACCGGATCTTTAAAACATGTGAATCATTTTTTTTTTTTTTTTTTTTTGTTGTGACTACAATGATGAAAGCCGATCAACAACAACAACGAAATGGAACAGAAAAATGGAAACAAACAAAAAATAAAAATCCTATCCAATTCATGATGTAAAATGATGATGATGATGATGATGATGATAATAATGGTGAAAGAATTGATCATGTTCTCATACGTTCATTCTATTATTATTATTTACAGAATTTCATTTTTTTTTCTTCTCTCTCTATTTCTCCATATTATCAATTCTTTTCCTATATTCAAAATGAATGAATGAATTGAAAAAAATCATAAAAAGAATGTCAACCTTGGTTCTTTTTTTGCTGGGTAAAATTCTATGTATTCAAACTAAACCGAATACGTATGATGTGTTTATGCATTGGTACCATCGCTGAATCGGGGTTACGGTGGCAAAAAATGAAAAAAAAATTAAGGTGAATAAATGAATTCAATTGAAAATGTAAATGTTTGTCGAATGTGTGTGTGCTGGGTCTTGTCTACGGTAGTAGGTAAGTGAGTGTATAGGGAATAAGAAAAGAATATGAAAACAGAATTTTTTTTATTGAAACGAAATTTTATTAAACAGAATTTTTTTTTGAATTCAACAGAATTTACCGCCCTATTCGATAAAATAGATATTTAGATTGTAAACGATTAACGTTGACAAAAAAAAAGGAAAAAGGAAAAAGAAATTTATTTAACTTTCTTTCATTGAAAACGTAAATGTAAACGAATCCGAAATGGAAAAAAAATCCATTATTTTTAATGAAAAAATCGAAAAAATTCAATATGATCGATAGATGACAGCACATCCATTCATAGTTGATTGTGATATTAATTTTCGACATAATTTTTTGGAACAAAATTGAATTTTAAATCAAAATTAAAGACAAATTCAAAGAATACAGGTATTTTATTGTTCGATAATTCATTTCTTCATCAACAAAATCTGTTTTGAAAAAAAGGGTTAACCAGATTTGATTCGCGAATGGGATGAAAATGTGAAGGGATGTGTCGGTAGCCCAGATAAAAATGCAAATTGAAATTTAAAAAAAAAAGAAAGAAAATATTTAAATATTTGGCTTGCAAAATGATGCAAGAAATTGGTAAAAAAAATGGTTATGGTGGTTATGAAATCAAAGAAAAAAACCGGAGAAGAAAAAAGAGAATTTTATTAAAATTTTCGTTTTTGTTAACGGTGCTTTTTTGACTTTTTACAATATTGACAATAGATGAACCAGGTAACATCATGTTGTTGTTGTTGTTGCTACATTGAATTCAATTTTTCAATTCATTCATATTTTTTTTAATACGGTCTTTTGGGTTCACCAACGTCACACACACACAGATGTAAGAAGCACCCGGTGTGATTTAGTGAAGGGATTTTTTTTCTTCTTTTTATTTGAAAATGATTTCAATCGAAAGAAAAGGGGTGATTCGGTGATGAATGGAAAAATTCTTAAACAAATATTTTTTAAGAAATGTAAAAGAAAAAAAAAATTCTATTATCAAACAAGATTGAAGAAAATGAAAAAAAAGTGAGGTGAAATTTTTCTTTTTTTTATTAGAAAATTTTCCATTCGATATGAAGATGATTTGTTTGCGAATCCAATCATTGCATTGAATGACAATCCAAAAGATGAAAGAATGATTTTTTTTAAATAGGGATAAGAAAAAGTCAATCATTTCCAATTGTGAATTTATGTTGTTTGACAACTATCATCATTTTTTTCGTGTTGTTTTGATTGAAACACACAAACATAGCGAAGCTAAAATTGATTTCCAAATATAAAAAAAAGACTGTTTAAATCATCATCATCATTGTAATGATTTTCTTATTTGACTGAATCTCAAGATGTGATTTTTTTCGGTTTTATTCTGGAAAAAAACCGATTCTGTTTTGTTTTGTTTTCAATCATCAAGATTGAATGAAAATCAAATAAAATTTATTAATATAAATGAAGTTTTTTTTGTTTTGTTTTGTTAGTTCTCTTTCACCCAACTCTTCCAAAAACATTATTCGTGCAAATAGTGAAACACTTTTGAACTTTCTTTTCTTTTTTGTTCCCTATGAAATTACAACGAATCATGCGAATGATGATGATGATTAGACCAATTTTTTATTTTATTTTATCATTCGTCTTTGAGAATAACATCCGTTCCATAAGTTCAATTCACTATATTCATTTGGAATTTCAATTCAGGTTTTTTATTCTGGTTCTAGTTTCCACTGCTTTTTTTTACCCATTTAAAACTACAACAACAAAAGAACAACCGGATATCAGAATACACACACACACATAACGTTTGAAAGTGAGTGAATGGGAAAAATTTTTCGAAGAAAAAATTAATGCTGATGAGAATAAAGTGAAGGCGGCATCGGTAGCGGCAACCAAAAAATAAAAAGCACCAACTATAATGAGGATTACAATTATTTTCAAAGAAAGAAGAAGAAGAAGAAGAAAAAATTTGTCGAATCGTTGTGTAATGAATAGACATTTGACATTTTATTATATCTCTGATAATAAATAAATGAGTGTAAGTTTATTTTTGTTGTTGTTGTTGTTGTTGTTGAAAGAAAAACAACGAAAAAGTTTTTTAAAATTTTTACAAAATTTTATTACACAACAAAACAGACAGGACAAAAAAAAAGTTTCTTGTTGTTTTTTACATAAATTTTCTTGCCATTCAATATAAGTTCGGTGTTCGTGTTTATCGAAGACAAAAAAAAAATGTTTGGCTAAAAGAATGACCTAACAGAAGAGGAAGAGTACTATTCATGTGTGTGTGTTATTTTTCTGATAAAAATTCCGAAAAAATAATCGAAAAATGATGATGATGATCATCATCATCGAATGATTCTCACGATATTCATGTTATAAATCTAGATAAATATTTACATAAACAAATCGATTTACAACAGTACGTAAGTAGTGATAGTGTTGGTGGTGGTAGGAAATATTCCTGGGAAAAATACATTTTTTTTTTGACTGACGGATGAATGAATAAAAAAAAATAAACTTTTATCGAAAAAAAAATTTTGATTGATACGATAATAAGCGATGATTGGAAAATATTCTGGGAAAAAAATCTTTCTGGAATCATTTTCCCGAAAAAGAAAATCCAATATTCAAATATTAAATGAATTTGATTTTCATTGTTGAATTGATTAAAAAGAAAAATTTTTTTCATTTATTTATTCCGTTTACATAACAAGTACATAATAAACATTATTTGAATCGTCGCATACAAGAAATGCACAAAAGTATTCTTCACTGCATTGCATTTTTATTTTTTTATTTGAAATTAATTTTTTCGTGTATGTTTTTCTTTTTGGTTTGGTTTGGTGACGAAGGCGCCATGATTCTTCGAAAAAGCAATCAAATCAAAAGTTTTTTCATCTTTTTCCATTTCACTAAGTCATTGTGGGCGGTGGATAAACTGTTGAACAAAAAAAGGAAAAAGAATTTTGAAAAATTCATTTTGAATCAAAATAATAATAATTCTTTCGTTCGTTCTTAAACATTGATCCTTTTTTTCCATGAATGGTATTTGTGTTTAGTGTTTTCTTTTTTTTCTTCTTGGTTCGTTATTTTTTATTATTTTAAAAAATTCAATCTATAAAAGTAGAAATAGTCATAAAAATTCTTTTTATTTTTGTCTATTTGTAGAAACATTATGAATAAATTTTCCAGAAAAAAAATTCTTCGTCTATAGCAGCGGTCGGGGAACCGGGGTAAATTACCCCAAATGGGGTAATGAAGAGATTTTTGGGTAACGTTTTCTTTATAAAATTATCAAAATTATTCAATGGGGGGCTATAATATGGGGTAATGATCAAAAAAGTTCCCCGACCGCTGGTCTATAGGATTGATATATTTACATGGTTTTTTCGTTTTTTACTGGTTTTGGTATTCAACGATTGAATTTGTTTTTAGAAAAATATGGGATGCAATAAAAATAGGAAATTTTTGTTCAGTTAAAAAACCTTTAGGCTGTGTTGTAAGAATTTTGTTTGAATGTTTTTTCTCTCTCTCCATGTCCAATAATATTATCCATGAATAGTTGTGACTAACATTTTTTTTGGAGAAATTTTGAAACGGACTATTTAGTGAAAGTGGGGATAAAAAATGAATTGAATTGAATTGACTAATCATGTTTTTTCCCTTGTTGTTCATCCCATAGTTTGACTGACTGATTGGTTAGAAAAAGGGGAAAAAAGGAAATTGTATGTTTTATCCACGAAAGAAAAACATTTTTGCTTTTATCGACAAGAAATTATTCATAAATTTTCATTTTTTTTTCTCTTTCTGCAAAATAAAAAAATTATGAAACAGGAAAGTTAAAACAGAATTTGAAATTCATACAGTTCAAAAAAAAGTTCTACTTAAAAAAAAAATTTCTCAAAATAAAAATCATTTGTTCGATAACGATGATGATTGATCTTTTCGAAGAAATGTAAATTTTTTATTCAAACAAATGATGATGATGATGGAGATTTTGAAATTGTGTGTGTCGAAACAAACTTTAATTCAAAATATCATCCATCAATTGCATCATCGTCATCAAAAGCGTTGACAATTTTTCCATCAAACATTCTGTGTGTTGTGATGTTGACATAAAACAAAATGAAACAACCAAAAAAAAAAGAAAACATTAATGTAAAAGTTGTAAAACGACAACAAACAAATTCCTGTTCAAAAAAAAAAATCATCAATGGGAAATGTTTTCGGAAAAATACAATTTTTTTTTTCGTTGACTTTTAAATATTTTCCTTTTTTTTTCTCTCGAAAAAATTTTGTTAAATTTAATTAAAATTTAAAAACACAACAAAAAAACAAAATAGTTATTTTTATTACTGTTTTGATATTATTAATTCGAATGTCAGACAACAACAACAAAAAAAATCAAGAATAATTATAGAATTTATTATTAAATTTGATTTTTTATTTGTAGATAAAAAAAATTTACATTTTAGGTGTTACAATACAGGACATAGACAGTGTATATAACAACAAGGATAGATGATGAATGTAAAAACAAATTCAACAACAAATTTTTTTTTTGTACAACAGTGTTGTGTTTGTGAAAGAGAGAGAGAGAGAGAAGGAAAACAAAACAAAAATATCCTGTAAATGCTTTGTTGGATAATAAAGATTTCGCAAATGTGTGAATTTTTTTCTTGAAAAACAAAATGAAAAAAGTTTTCGTTTATCTCTCTCTCTCTCTCTCTCTCTTTGATAAATAAATAATAAATTTTATTAACGCACGCTGCAAAATGCATTTGTGCAAAAAAAGACTAAGAAGTGAAAAACAAAAAATCTCTCTCTCTTTGCTCAAGTGTACATAGGAAAAATACTTTTCGTTTCGAGGATTTAATTTTTAAATGTTCAACAACATTTTTTTCCGAAGACAAGAGAAAAAAAAATGAACAAAAATCCGGATTCATTTTTTTGGGAAAAGTAGTAATGAAAATCGGAATTGTATTACACGATGTGAATATTGATGTGAATTTTGTAGGGATTTTTCGTTAAATTCAACAGAATCGTGTTTTTTTCCATCTTTCTCTTTCTATTCATTATTATCATCGCTAAATAAAATGAAGTTTGAATTTTAAGATGATGATGACGACAAAAGTTTTCATCTTAACAAAAGCCAACAAAACATGTTTTGACAAGAATGGAATAAAAATCATTTTCATTATAATTAGTGATGAATTTATTTCCGATGATGATGATGATGATAATGTTTCTGTTTTATACGAATGTAATCTGGTCATTCTTGTTTCATTTGTTTCGAATGGAAGAAAAAAAACATCTTGAAAAACTGCACAGCATCGGAAAAAAAGTGTAGTGTTTACACGATGATGATGACATTTATTATATGTACGTAAATTAATCCCTTTTCTGTTGTTGCCATACAATGTTGTTGTTGTTGTTTTGTTTAAAATCTGGCATTTCTTGGCATTCATAAATCCTTAGGTTAAAATGGAAAAAAAACAGGTGAAAAAAACAATGATAAGAAAATGAAAAAAAATATGAAGAATTAAGAGATTTTTATTCGAAACAAAAATGAAGAAAATAATAATAATTTTCAATTCAACAAAAAGAAGAATAATGAAAAAAGAAACAGCAACATAAAAAACGAAAGGATAATTATTATTAGGGAGTGATAGAAGAGAGGAAAAAAACCTGTCAAAAATGGCAAAAATGATAAAAAAATAATATAAATGAAGAATGGAAGAAGATTTTTTTGGAAATAAAGTAAAAGAAAAAATGAATAAAAAAAACTTACCATTGGCTTTCTCTTATAAAAAGAAATGAAATATTTTGACATTTATACAACAGAAAGAAAATACACTTGGTTGAATTGAATGTTTCCTGTCATTATCAGTAACATTTATTCCATCTTTTCATTTTCATTTTAATTTTCATTTTTGAATAATGATCATGTTGACTTCTTCTTCTTATTCTTTTTTTTTGGCAAAAAAAAGAAACCACCAAAACCATAATACTGGCTACAGGCTATGAATTACATAATATTTTACGAAATGCTTTTCGAAATTCTGTCATTTTTTGTGTGTGTGGGAGAGTTTTCGGTTTTTATTTTATTTGACAGTTTGATGTAGGCAGGTAAATTATGAAAATAAAAAATGATTATTATTGATTAATTGAAAAGAGAGAGAGAGTGAGGGAGAAAAAAACATGAAACATCGTTGAATTTTGTAAGAAAAAACTTGCTTACCTGTATTGAAAATAGTATAGATAAGTGGATTGGCGCCTATTTCGTCATTGTTTTGTTTTGTTTTGTTTCGTACGGAAAAAAATTAAAGCCAAAATCGATTTAGTACAATGAAATTAATTTAGAATATCGAAGAAAAAATGATATTTGTCGTATGCGATCGTCGTCGTCGTCGTTGTGGATTTAGTCGATGTTTGCAAAAAAAAAGTAAAATTGAAAAACAAAATTGAAAAATGTTTCTCGAAATCAAGAATAAAAAAGGATTAAAAATCGACAAACCAACCACCCACAAATTCACCCCCACACGAATTAATTAATACAACACAAAAAAAAAATGAATTAATTATCTTTCCTGAGCCAGAAAATAATAATCATTATAATAATATTATTTATCCAATGTTTTGTTGGTTGGTTGGTTTGATGTATCTTGATAAAGATAGAAAAATCTTTTCTTAGTAAAAGTTGAATTTTTTGTCATATAGGATAAACAACGACAAAACAAACAAACAAATCTAATCTAAGTTTTCTCTTTTCATTGTTAATTATTATAATTCTTTTCAATTGAAATCATTTTACCTTTTCTTATTTTTTTTGGAATAAATGAATCATTTTCACATTTTTTATATTAATATAATCACTTATCGTCTGGGTTTTTATTTATTTTTTTTTTTGTAGTGAAGAAAGGAAACAAGGTGGAAATATTATTTGTTTGTTTTGATAAACAAATAAAACATAATGTGAACCAAAATAAAGAATAAAGAATTGTGAATCAAAAAGGTGAATAAAAAAGTGAGATAAGAATTAATTTGGCGTTAAATGTCAAAGAAAAAAAAAACGATTTTGTCAATTTAATGGCAAAATGAAATATGAAGAAGATATTTTCATCAAATTTACTAATGCCATATGGGAAAATGTTAAAAAGTAAAATAAACACACTTACAGCTATTCATATAACCAATCCATGTGGTCAATAGAAATGCAGTCATACCAGGACGACAATCTGATTGTGTAAAATGATTTTCCTGTAATTTTATACAGATTGCATCCAAAATATTACAGCTGTTGAACATTGAATATTTTTTTTTTATTTGAATAGTGAACGGAGAGTGAAAAAAAAATTGTTCATATTCGATTTGATTTGAAATGAAAAATATTGTTATTGTTGTTGTCATCATCGTTGTTATCATCGATCATTGTTTGAAGGAAGCAAGCAAACCGAAAATAAAACACAATACAGGGAACGGAACCGAATTTTTAACCACCGTTTAAAGATTAAAATAAATTTTTTTCCCCATTGATGATTGTCGTTGTTGACATTGGATGATGATTTGGTTTGTTTGTTTTGAATTTTATTATCCGAAAAAAAAAAATGAAATTATGGTTGTTGTTTGAATGAAAATTCATTTTCGTTGTCGTTTTTGTTGTTCAGTAGTTCCGTTATTGTTGTTGTCATTCATGATTGGTTGTTGTTTTGATTGAACGACGGATTTTTGTTTGAATTTGATTGAAAAAAAAGAAAAGAAGAAAACAAAGGATTATTAAATTTCAATTTTTTTCAAATGTTTAAACACATAAACGGATATTCTGTTTGACAAAAAAAAAACAAACAAACCAAAAATGATGATGCAAAAAATAAAATTAATGAAGAAAAATTGATTAAATGAATCGTAATGATCGTACACACATTGCAACGAAGAATCCAAATGAAAACAAAAAACAAAAACAAAAATGAAACATTCATCATCATTATCATTAGGGGAATGTTTGTACAATAAAAAAAACAACAAGAACATCAAACGAAGATATGTAACCAATACAAAAACAAATATTTGATGAAAAACATTGATTCCACTTGAAATATTAATATTGATATGAAAAAAATAAGTAATTTTTTTTCTAGTCTTGATTTTCAATCATCATCATTATTATTATTATTCTTACATAATCCTCTGGATATTAGATCTGTTTGTTTCAAATACCAAAATACAATCTTGATTGCGGTCCATCAGGATCAGGGAATATTTGATAATAATCATAATTTGTCATCAATATATACGAATCAACATTAGGTACATAGATAATAATGTTTTATCATTCATAAATTTTGTGTATGGTTTTTGTTGTTGTTGTTGTTGTTGGTTACCTCGATTAATGAGAAAAAGATAAATTATTTCTCTGGAACCGTAAGAAAATCTTATCAATCTGGTTTTTTTTGTGCATGTTTGGTCAATCAAGTTCTTATAGTGAAGAATATTTACTTGAAAAAATAAACAAGTAACATTGAACCGAAATTCTCATTATTTTTTATTATTATGGGTTTTTTCGAAGAAAAAAAGAAAAGAAATAAATCTTAAACATCCTATGGTCACCCAAAAAAAGTAAGTAAGTAAGTAAATAAGTGAATAAATAAATAAATAGCCATTTCCCACAAAATCATATCTTATATGATGATAAAGATTGTCCACTATATATATATGTTTTCATAATAAAGATGTCTATTTCCAGAAGAAAGAAGAAAAATTTTCACCATAATCACACCATCATCATTATCATGGATGCTTGATGTGAATAAATAAATATATTCTACTCATCTTTTTTTTTGCTTTTATTCACCATTACATTAGCATCATCAATGTGTATATTAGGCAATAATGATGATGATGATGATGATAGAGATGAAGATGATGAAAATCGACCAAAAAAAGCAATAACAATAAAAATATCAATCTTAATCATCACCTTTTTTTTATCATCTTTTTGTTTGGTAACGGGATTTTTTTTTATTGGAAAAATAAAACGACTACAACCATGATGATGATATTAATCTTCAAGACAAACAAACCATCTGCACCAGGTTTATGATGCCTAGGCAAAAGATGAACATTTTTCTTTGGAAAAAATGATTGGTTTTTTTGTTTTAGTATTTTTTTTTTTNGCCCAAACATTTCATGGATTTTTTGTTTTGTCCCAATATTTCATGATTTTTTTTGCTAGCCTCAATATTTCATGGATTTTTTTGCTAGCCTCAATATTTCATGAAAAATTTCTGGACTTAGAAAAAAACATTCATATCGAACTATTTATTTTGATTTTCGTCAAAATCATTAGAAACTTATTTTGAGAGATATATTATCTGATTTTGAAATACGAGATTCATATTCAACAGAATCCCTTACAATCTTTGAATCTGAGGAAGAAATATCTTGTCAATTTTCGCACTAGCACAGCATTAAATTTTAAATAAAAATAGTTCAATTTTTCTACAAAATTCAATCATCAAGATATTTCATTAATAACAAATTTATTTTAATTATTTCATAACTAATTTTCCTGTGTGTACTCTAAATTCGATATTTTTGATTTATTTGTTAAATAACCCAGTAAAAACAATTCTATTTGTTTCATCGCAATCTTTGAAATTGGAGATATTCAAGTAATCATGTGAAAAATGCAGATGATTCAATAAGATATAACAATTACTATGAATCTTTCGGATTTTTGTTAGGAATGTAGATGAAACTTCAACAAAGACATCACCCTCGCAAAATATATTCGATTTATTGTCCATATGGAATTTTTTGGTTAAAAACCAGCTTTTCGACAATGATTTGCATAAAATCTTTCTGACTGTATTATCATTGAGGTGGAATGGATGATTTTCAATCAGGACTTTAATACTTGAAAAATTTAAATTTTTTATTATTGGAATTGCATTTGATTCATTAATTGAGTGTTTCCAATCGGTATCTTGTACTTCAATCCTATAGCCATTAATTGCTTGAATAAACCTATTCCTCTTCATCATTATGTTGCATAAATCTTTGTTGTTTTTGTTTAATCTATTGTAATTTTTCTTAATTTGGTGCTTTCGCTCCCAACGAAATGTTTGGTGTAAAACAGGTAGCGAATAACATCTAGTTTCTTGGGCAATGTGTCTTAGTTGATGCAATTTGTGGTATATGAAATGCTCTTGTTCGTCCTTGTTTATTTTTTTATATTTTTGTCTTATAATCATAAATTTTATTAATATGTTTTTTGATAAATTATCAATTTCAACAATATTTGTATCCGATAATTGACTAGAAAATATCAGTATTGTGATCTTTTTAAGATCTAATAGATATTTTATCTCTTCCCATTCATAACAGACGACAGACGAAAAAACGTCTTCAAATCGTAAAAATGCTTCTAGTTTCTAAAAGAAATATGTATAACTATGTGAAAAATCAAATTATAAACGAAGCTAACCTGCGAAGCTGTTCCTTTTAATGCGAAGACATCTCCTGCCTTCCATTCCATTTCCCCGTGATAAAAGGGAAATGCCGTTAGACATTCTTTTATCATTTGTGATGATTTTTTGTATGTTTTCGCGATTAAATGGAGACAAATTGAAAGTTCTTTTGGAAGCACCCCTTCCGCCAACAGATGAACCACGTCATTTGGAGCACAATTCCATCTAGTAATATTTTTGGTGATGAATATCATCTCTTGTTTGACTCCTACTGTCAGCTCGTTCTCTGGTATATTTTGAATCAAAGGCATTTGCAATTCTATGTTTTGATAACTTCTGATGCTTTTGGTCTGATCTTCAATAGATGGATCGAATCCTCGCAACCCACAGCCACGACAATAAGTGTCTCGGGGCCTAAAAGAGCATTTGAAGCCTAAAGCTTCATATTGAGCTGCATTGTCGCCTGGGAATGTACAAAATTCCACATCTATTTTTCTATCAACTGAATTTAAAGATACAATTAATCCATTTGTTATTAATTCATTCAAATCTTGATTGACAATAGAAAATAGACAACCAAATGGTAATTTTAATTTTTTGAATTGCTTTCTATCACAAAGTAGCAATTCTTCAATCGAATCATCTTTTGCTTTTAATCTTAATGGAATATCTCCAAAAGATAAATATAATTGAATCAATTTCGCACTACGACCGAACCCACATCCTCTGTTCAACTCTGCGTCATCAAGATAAAAGTCCAATTTTATTTTTCCTCTGCATCTTTGTAAACTGGCACCGTCAAGGATTTCGTTATATTCCGATAAAGTATTCGATTTTACTGTTTCCATTTCTAGTTTTGGCAGAAGCCATTCGGCATTTTCTTCTGCAAATTTTTCAACAACATCGCGCAGAGGCGTATAAGAATAAGTACATAATTTATTATTAAGATTCGATCTTAATTCCATTCTTTTATGTTGTATTAGTCGAGATTTATACCGCTTTTTTAAGTAAAGCTCAGTGTAATATTTTGATTTAGCCATTTTCATGTATACATCGAGGTTGGTGTTTTTAATTTGTTCATCGCCTATCATGAGTTCATCTTTAATAAATAAATAGACGAACTGGAGCATTTTACTCGATAAATTGTGCACTTGTTTCATTGAGCCACCACAATTGATATAAATTTGTTCACAAATAGTATCCATAAGAAACTAGAATTTTAAAAATTTTAATGTGGCAAATGAAAATGAATTTCAAAATACTAACACGAAATGATTCTTTTTTTAATAAAAAATCAAGCATCGATATCCTTGGTTCTTTTGTTTCATCTATTATTTGTTTATGACTGAATTCCGGATTACTAATAAAATCAGGGGTAAGATCATCCTCTTCTTCATTCTCTGTGTCACTGCTCAAGTCATTGCGAATGTCAAAATCCGATTCATCATCGCAGGACGAATCGAAATCATTTTCAAATGTTGATGATGATGTTGATGGTGTTGCTAATATTGGTGGGACAAATGATGTTGCTGTTGATGATGATGCTATTAATGTTGATGCTGTCGATGGTGATGATAACGCAAGATGTTTAAGACCATGCTTCCTTATGGTCTCTATTGAAAAAATTTTTTCCCTACACCCTGGACATACTACAAAAAAACTCTTACTGCGCCTTTTAGAATTGTATAAGCTTTTATCATTTTTTTTCATATCGAGGAATTTGTTGATCAATAGTTGATATTTTGTACCAGACAATTTCGATAACTTAGGCATTTTTGATGATACACAGAAATAATTCTTAACAAAATTCAAACTTATAAAAAGAGAATTTCAGTCAATAAATTCAAAGCAATCGCAAACAATCAAAAACGAAATTTGAAACAATCTGAATATATGCATTCAACAATTCGTTAGCATTCGTAACAATTAACTCATTAGTTATGTTTAATTGTTCCGATTTGATTTAAACAATTCAATCGAATTGAAACAACATTTTTGTTTTGTTTTTAAGCTGAGTTTTTGTTTTTAGAAGAAGTTCATTTGTTGTTTTTAAGCCAAAATGGCAAAAAAAAAGAAAAAGAATAACCCAAGTGATGAAAAAAAAAATATGGTCGAAGTGGTAGATCATATCAGTAGCGATACTGAAATCGCCAGCATCAACGATGAATCCATCATCATAAATGATGAGAAAGATACTATTTATTATCCAAATAATGATGATGGAGTGAAAGAAACACAAGCAAATCAATCAAAAGCAAAAAGTATGCTTAAGTTTATTCTTGTTTCAATTCTAAATATTTTTCATTTTTAGAAAACCACTTCATATCGTTTAAAAAGAAATCGAGCATTATTTATAAGAATGCCAAATTATTTAAGGAAAACTTTTTACAGATGAAGGCGGTTGGGGTTCATTACACTCGATGTAAAGAGGAGGTTACTTCCGGGAAACTTTTCTTTTCTATTGAGAAATTCAAATTTTCAGCAGTAACCGAATCGTTCATCCGAAAATTGATGGGGGGGGACACTGGTCAGCTCATCGATGGACCAACTTTCGACCGGGAACTTAAAGCATTAGTCAATTCCCTGGTAACGGATTTGGAAGAGATATTCGCGATACCACCCCCCGATTCAGTTTTGAAAGACGTATCCCTCAAACTATCATTGCAGCACCTTGATTTGGCGAAAAGATATCGAAAATTAAGAAAAAAAGGCTTTTTTTTTGATCCCTTATTATCAGTGAGTAAAAAGCACAATTTATTCTTGTTCTAATAGTTTTTTTTGTTATCTATAGATTTGCATTCAAAAAAAAATGCGGAATAGGTTTACTTCACTCGAAAAAAAACGAAAAAAAGAAATTAAAACTGAAAAAGATCGTCTTGTTTATGAAATGAGAAAAAAATGTAGAAAATTTTTAAAAAGTTTTGAGTAAAATTTTAATTAACATCACTTGACTAACGTGGGTGAACAAAAAATTTTTTCGTTCCTTCGTTCATAATTAATTGATTGCCAATTTTTCAATGAAAATACATGGTCAATAATCTAAATTTTTATTGTTCTATTCCCTGATCAATATGTTTATTCGGCTAAATTTGTCTTTTTCTCTTTTTTTTGTAAATTAAAAATATTTTAAAACAAAATAAGTGAATCATTTTATCCCATAACGCGTGCAAATTATCAAAATATTTCATGATTTTTTACCCAAAAATATTCAGTCTTTTTCCAGAATATTTCATGGATTTTTGCCCAAAAATATTCAGTCTTTTTCCAGAATATTTCATGGATTTTTNACACACTTACAGCTATTCATATAACCAATCCATGTGGTCAATAGAAATGCAGTCATACCAGGACGACAATCTGATTGTGTAAAATGATTTTCCTGTAATTTTATACAGATTGCATCCAAAATATTACAGCTGTTGAACATTGAATATATATTTTTTTTTGAATAGTGAATGAAGAGTGAAAAAAAATTGTTCGTATTTGATTTGAAATGAAAAATATTGTTATTATTGTTGTCATTGTCGTTGTTATCATCGATTATTGTTTGAAAAAGCAAGCAAATCAAAAATAAAACACAATATAGGGAACGGAACCGAATTTTTAACCCCCGTTTAAAGATTAAAATAAATTTTTTTCCCCATTGATGATTGTTGTTGTTGTTGTTGTTGACATTGGATGATGATTTGGTTTGTTTGTTTTGAATTTTATTATCCGTAAAAAAATGAAATTATGGTTGTTGTTTGAATGAAAATTCATTTTAGTTGTTCAGTAGTTCCGTTATTGTTGTTGTCATTTATGATTGGTTGTTGTTTTGATTGAACGACAGAATTTTTTTTGAATTTGATTGAAAAAAAAGGAAAAGAAGAAAACAAAGGATTATTAAATTTTAATTTTTTTCAAATGTTTAAACATATAAACGGATATTTTGTTTGACAGTAAAAACAAACAAACAAACAAACCAAAAATGATGATGCAAAAAAAAATTAATGAAGAAAAATTGATTAAGTGAATCGTAATGATTGTACACACATTGCAACGAAGAATCCAAATGAAAAAAACAAAACATTCATCATCATTATCATTAGGGGAATGTTTGCACAATAAAAAACAAAACAACAACAACAAGAACATCAAACGAAGATACCAATACAGAACAAATATTGGATAAAAAACATTGATCGTAAAGATGATACACATTCCACTTGAAATATAAATATTGATATGGAAAAAATAAGTAATTTTTTCTCTAGTCTTGATTTTCAATCATCATCATCATTATTATTATTCTCACATAATCTTCTAGATATTTGTATGATTTGTTTTAAATATCAAAATACAATCTTAATTGCGGTCCATATGGATCAGGGAATATTTTGATAATAATCACATAATTTGTCATCAATATACGAATCAACATTAGGTACATAGATAATAAAGTTTCATGAATTCTGTGCATGGTTTTTGTTGTTGGTTACCTCGATCAATGAGAAAAAGATAAATTATTTCTCTGGAATCTTATCAATCTGGTTTTATGTGCATGTTTGGTCAATCAAGTTCTTATAGTGAAGAATGTTTACTTGTGAAAAAATAAACAAGTAACATTGAACCGAAATTCTCATTATTTTTTATTATTATGGGTTTTTTTTCTTCAAAGAAAAAAAAAGAAAAGAAATAAATCTTAAACATCCTATGGTCACCCAAAAAAGTAAGTAAGTAAGTAAGTAAATAAGTGAATAAATAAATAAATAGCCATATCCCTTAAAATCATATCTTATATGATGAATAAAGATTGTCCACTATATATGTTTTCATAATAAAGATGTCTATATCAAAGAAAGAAGAAAATTTTCACCATAATCACCATCATCATTATCATGGATGCTTAATGTGAATAAATAAATATATTCTACTCATCTTTTTTTTGCTTTTATTCACCATTACATTAGCATCATCAATGTGTGTATATTAGGCAATAATGATGATGATGATGATGATGATAGAGATGAAGATGATGAAAATCGACCAAAAAAAAGCAATAACAATAAAAATATCAATCTTAATCATCACCTTTTTTTATCATCTTTTTGTTTGATAACGGGATTTTTTTTATTCGAAAAATAAAACGACTACAACCATGATGATGATGATGATGATATTAATCTTCAAGACAAACAAACCATCTGCACCAGGTTTATGATGCCTAGGCAAAAGATGAACATTTTTCTTTGGAAAAAATGATTGGTTTTTTTGTTTTAGTATTTTTTTTTTTGCTTTCAATCTGGCTATTTTCAAAATTTGTGTTTTATTGGGAAATAGTGATTGCCTAACTGACATCTTCAACATAATTATGGATCGATTTTATTTTTTTGCTGTTTGCTTGGCCCCACACTTGAAATAACAAATTTAATCCTAATTACATTCAATGAGGCCAGAATTAAAAATAGCAGGAAAAAATATGTACGAATAAATTCTTGGAAATAATCTTACTTTTGAATAATTTATCTTTAAATGAGAGAAAATTCTGGATGTTTTTTTTTCTTTTAGTTTCGTTAGTCTGCGTCTATTATGCAAGACCGCAGAAAAAAATCTTTGAATATTTTTGAATCCCTGTGTTCAATGAAGAAAACAAATTAATTTCGTAAAATGTTCATTTTTTTCTGGCTGAGCGATAAAAATTCAACAATTTAAACAATGAACTGTCCTGATTATTATGATGATGATGATAATAGAAATGAACGATAACGAGTTAACCGATCATCATCATAATTAATGTAATTAAAGTAAAAAAGTGAAAATATGATATTCGACTAAACCACAAAAGACTATTTAAAGAAAAATCACGTCAGGATTACGCATAAATATTTCGTGGAAAACAATTTTTTTCACTTTTGATTTACTAACCAAAAGAAAAATGGGCAAAAAAATATCCAGGTTAAATAAAAAATAAAAAATCAATGAAATTAAAAAATGAAAATTTTGCTTCGCCAGCTTTTTTTCAACGAAAATGAAAATGAAAATTTAATTTGATTTGTTTTTCGCTTATTATCATTTATGATGACTGCCTGAATTTTCTTGCTTCTGGGTTCCCCAGAAACAAAAATTTTGTAATCAAACATGCATCAAACAAACAAAGCAAAAAAAATGGAATAAAAAAAAGAAACACCAATGCAGTACATACCTGAAAAATGGTGTCCAACAAAGTAGAAAAACACCTGAAAAAAATGTGATAGAAAAAAAAGTTTGCATATTAGATTTTTGATGATTGGATCAGAAATTCAATGTGATTATTGTTGCTGCTTCGAAATAATTTGTCATTTTTTTTAGTTCAAGGAAGAAATTTTCTTTTTTCCCTAAAATATTCAAATCGATTTGGAAATTGGATTGGTCACGAAAATAGAAATTTTGTTTTCTTTCGCACCAATTGGATTGTAGAAAATGGAAACAAAATGGTGATAATAGCTATTTTGCTTGTCAAATTTTTCTTTTGCCTTTTTTTTCTATCTATCTGACCTAATTCTATCTTGAAATTTTAAAATGAACACAAATACCAATGACAGCAGCAAAATAAACCTGGCTGAAAAAAGCAAAGTTTTTTCTTTTGGTTCAATCAAAAAAAAAAGAAAAGAAAAAAGATAACTTTTTTCTTTTTTGTCTAAACAAAAAAAAGTAATATTACAAAATTATTATGTGTCAGCATTTCAAACAAACCAACATCAACAACAACAAAAAACTAAAGAATATTCCATACAGAAGCATCAACAGCACTCGAACTAAGGTAAACCAGAATAAATTGAGAATTTTTTTTTCCACTCATCTTTAAACAATCAAATAACTAGCTTTGATGGCTATAACTTACCTAAAACAATGGCCAATGTTTTTGTTGCTTTACGTTCACGACGAGCTGATACTTTTTCTCTTTTTTTACGGCTTGATTTATGTTTTCGACCAAGATTAAAACGTGATTTTTTCTTTGTTGAATAATCATCATCAATATTACTGCTATTTTTTGCATTATTATCTGTCGGGATATCACCACCGGTATTGATAGTATTAACACCACCACCGCTACTACTACCACCACTACCATCACCGGTTGTTGTACCAATGATATCAGTTTTTCCATCAATATCACCATCAAAATTTTTTCCATTGATAGTTATTGATGATGGATCAACTAATTTTTCATGATCATTACCATCATCAATATTAATTTGAATTCTATCTTTATTTGTCATTTGATCCGATAATATTTGTTTATTTTGTTGTTTTTGACAACGATGCTGATGTTGTTTTTTTAATTTAACTCCATTTTCAATATCATTATTATTCTTATTTTGATTATCAACAGAATCGGATACTGTTTTTTTCTTATAAGATGTTGATTTATCATTTTGTTTCATTGTCATGCTATCATTGTCATGATTTTTTCTTGTCGTTGTTGTTGTTTGATCTAATGATGCTACAACATTTTCAACAATAAACATATCACATTTTATTGGATTCTCTGATTTATCTACGATGTTATTCAATAAACAATGTAAAAATGAAAAAGATTCAATTTTTTCCATAATCAAACAACTTACCAGAAGTTTTTAATATTGATTTTTCATCACCTTTATTTGAGCAACAATTATTATTATTATTTAAACATTTTTTTATTGATTTTTGTTCCATCATTGTTTCCAATGAATTTTCACATGCTAATTGTTCATTATCTTCCTCGTCATCATCTTCTTCGTCTTCCTCGTCATCATCATCTCCATCTTCGTCATCGTCATCATCATCATCATCATCATCATCATCAAAACGGCTATCAATATTATCACTATTACTTGTTTCTAAAATATTTTCATTATTTAAATTTGTTGTATTTGTTATATTTGATGATATAATCGATACTATTGGTATTGTTGATATTGTTGTTGTCATTGTTGTTGTATTTGTTGTTGATGATGATGATTTATTTAATGAATGTTGATTATATTTTTTATTATCAAAATTTAAATCTTGATTTGCCATATTAATTTGTAAATGTGATGGTTGTTGTTGTTGTAATTTTGTATCTGATTTTAATGTTGTTGTTGTCGTTGTTGATGATGGAATCTGTAATTGTTTACTTAATGTTATTGATTCTAATGTTTTTGTCGATTCAATACCAAGAATATTTTTTGCTTTATTCGTTTGATTCATCATTGATAACATTGTTTTATTGCTATTATTGATGGTGGCTGTTGTTATTGTTGCTGATGTTGCTGTTAAACCAGCAGCAGCAGCAGCAGTAGCATTTTTATTATGAACATTTTGATTATTTCCTGACATTGTTTTCTTTTGATTCGAAGTTGTATCATTACCACTATTTGTACGACCACCACCACCACCTGAACAACTACTAATATGATCCATTTTTTTACGTGCACGATCATGTATTGCTTTGAAAATTTTATAATATAATATAACCATCATCAAACATGGTACATAAAATGACCATAATGATGAATAAATAATAAAATTTGAATTATAAAATATACATAATTCGGGTATACGTTCGGGTGATGTATTTGCGCCTAACATTATTGGTAAACCAACACCAAATGATGCCATCCAAACCAATATAATTGTAATTATAACACGTTTATCATTTTTATGTTTTGAATAAAATATTGGATGTGTAACGGCAATATATCTGTAGAAAATTTGTAAAAATTAACATATAAACATAGTGGAAATAGATTAAAAAAAAGAGTGAACGAATAAAATAAAAACATTAATAAAATTACAAGAAAAAAAACTCAAACGAATTCAAACGAATAAAAAAATTGATTTGATGAAACAAGTTTACGAGTTTGTTTTTTTTTATTGAAATTTATGATGTGTGAAAAAGTTTGTTTTGTGGAAAATAGAATTTGAATGTCAAAAGAATTATTTCGTATGAAATGAAATAGAAATGTTAAAATAAAATTTGGAATCTATGAATATAATTTTTGTTTTGTTATTTTTTTTTGGTTCTTTTCATTTAACACTTGAAAAGTAATGAAAACTTTTTTTTGGATCTGTATGTAATGTTCATTGTATACAATTGTGATGATAGTATGTGAAACCGGAATTTCGCCTAAATGGCTATCGGCCATCGCATTCAATGGTAATTTCCTTTTTATCCTCACCAAAAAAAAAATCTTATAAACAAGATTTTCTTCGAGAAAAACAACAACAATTTTTTTGGTTGTTGGCAATAGTTGTTGTGGTTGTTCGATGATTGTCACACCAAAATTCACATAACGTTTATATTTTTGTGTTTGATATTGATCAAGATTACTTTNAACATGGTACATAAAATGACCATAATGATGAATAAATAATAAAATTTGAATTATAAAATATACATAATTCGGGTATACGTTCGGGTGATGTATTTGCGCCTAACATTATTGGTAAACCAACACCAAATGATGCCATCCAAACCAATATAATTGTAATTATAACACGTTTATCATTTTTATGTTTTGAATAAAATATTGGATGTGTAACGGCAATATATCTGTAGAAAATTTGTAAAAATGAACACATAAACAGAATTGAAATAGATTAAAAAAAGAGTGAACGAATAGAAAAAAACATTAATAAAATTGCAAGAAAAAAAACTCAAACGAATTCAAACGAATAAAAAGGAATCTCCCAACAAACAAAAAAAAAAAATGATTTGATAAAACAAGTTTTGTTGAAATTTATGATGTGTGAAAAAGTTTGTTTTGTAAAAATAGCAAAAGAGTAGCCAACTTGATCATCAATTCAATTAGAATTGTTGAATTTTGAATGTCAAAAGAATTATTTTGTATGAAATGAAATAGAAATGTGAAAATAAAATTTGGAATCTATGAAAATAATTTTTGTTTTTTTGTTTTTTGTTTTTTTGGTTCTTTTCATTTCACACTTGAAAAGTAATAAAAACTTTTTTTTGATCTGTATGTAATGTTCATTGTATACAATTGTGATCATAGTATGTGAAACCGGAATTTCGCCTAAATGGCTATCGGCCATCGTATTCGATGGTAATTTCCTTTTTTATCTTCACCAAATATAAAAAAAAAATCTTATAAACAAGATTTTCTTCGAAAAAAACAACAATTTTTTTTTGTTGTTGCAATAGTTGTTGTGGTTGTTGAGATTGTCGCACCAAAATTCACATAACGTTTATATTTTTGTGTTTGATATTGATCAAGATTACTTTCCTTCATCCCCCTTCAAAAAAAAAGAAAAAGAAATCCAAACGGAAACCAAACTTTTTCAATTTTCACTTAAGCAAAGAAAATATTGTTGATCAAAATCATGATCATCATCCATAGATCTTGTTGATAGTGGTGATGGTGATGATGAGGAAAAAAAGCTTTAAACAAAATTGAAAACAAAATCTATAGGATTTATTGCCTAAATGGATGACTATTCTATTTATCACTATATGTTTGTTTCATATATGGAGAGACAAAATTCCAACAAAAAACAACTTCAAGATAGATTCATTCAATTTTCAAATTTCTAAACAATTTGGTCAATTCATTTTTTGCCCTCATTTTATTGCTTATCTCATTTTTTTCAAGTTGTTTTCGAACATATTTTTTGTATATTGTCATTTTGTCAATAGCAAAAATTTTGTTGTTTGGAATAGAAAAAATTCAACAGAAAAAAAATCAGAATTCAATTCAATGAAATTCTTTATAACAACAATTTTATTAACGACAAAATTTATGTATATGTTTTTGAGTTGTAATTTAGATCCAATAAACAATTATTTGTTTGGTATACATACCGATCAAAACTGATGGCAACCAGATTAAATATCGATGCTGTACTACAAATTACATCGGTTGCAATATAAAGATCGCATATTGTATCGCTTAATTCCCAATCGACATTAACCTAAAAAATATTAATTATGAAAAAAAACAAAATGAATCAATAAAAAAATGAATGGAAATGTTACAAAATTAATCAAAACATGTAGTAAATTGATAAAAATATAATTTCAAAATAAATCTATTTTTAGTAACCAAACAAAATTGTCAATTATCTTTATCATTATTTCCAAGGAATTTTTGATTTTTTCGAAACATTTTTTTTTCTTCTTACGGATCCCAACTTCTTAATCTTTTCACCGTTTTTTTTTGAAAATGTTTATGATAAATTTTATACGGTTAGTAAATATATCATCATTATCATTGGTGGTGGGTGGTGTTGGTGTTTGGTGGTCATCATCATAACGAATATCCTCAAGGGTATGATAATGACAATGAGAGAAAAAAAAAATCCTGGTATTTTATTTTTTTATTTTTTGGTAACAACAAAAGAAAGATGAAAAATTGAAATAAATTGGAATGTGAAATAATAATAAGAAACCAACAGCAACAACAACGAAAAAAAAGAATCCTCAAAAAAAAAAATAGATTGATCCACAACAAACAAACATTTGGAATTGTGCTGTAAGGCATAATATGCAGTGAATTTCTTCTATTTCTAAATTCTCTGTTTGTACAGAATTCATCAAGAATTCACCAACACACACACACACACACGCACATAGACATAGACACAAATGACCATAGATAAAAAACATTTTAGCAATACGACCGGACATTGAATTATTATTATTGTTTTTTATATATTTTAAATTCATCAATAAATGTCATTTGTTGTTGTATACGAAAGGAAACAAAAAACAAAAATACATTCCAAAAATTTTAGCTCTATAAAAAAAGACATATAGAATAGCATAACAACCGAAACAAACCAACAACAACAAAAAAAATCATCATTATCATCTTCGGTAATCAAGTCACACACACACACACAAAAAATTACAAATACAAATGATCATCATTATATAATGGTCATTATTCATCACCATCACCATCATCATATTATTTAATAATCATCATTATTTTTTTTCGTTTCTTCTTTTCATTACCATCATTCATATTTTGAATGCATCTTTTAACACCCATCCTTCCAACATTGAAAACAATTATTATTCTTTTTTAGATGTTTATTTGATTATTATTATTATAGATTCATTCATCGTCATTATTATCATCATTTTTCATTATTCAATTGTTAGGGATGACCATCATCATCATCATCATCATTATCAACATTCAATTAACGATTAAATAATGATGGATTTTCCTTTTCATTTTCTGCCCTCTCTCTCACCCATTTTTCTTTTCTCACAAAACAATGTGTGTATAAATTTGTCTCTTCATTTTTTTACGAGTTTGTGACGTCAAAGATGAAAAGAAAAACAGCAACATTATTTTACAAAAATAAATTGTCACTATATTCATTTATTGTTTTTCAAAAAACAAACAAAAAAACAAAAATAATGATAATAAGTAATAATCATTAACAACGAAATGATGATGATTTTATTCTGTAATGATGCGAAACAAGCACAAATTGAATTTTGATAATATTTTTTCCATCATAATCAGCAAAAAAAAAACAACTGATGATTATTATCAATATTGACAAATATTTTGAGCAATCCATTTTTCCGTCTGTCTCTCTCTTCGTATAAAAAGCAAACTATTCGACTAATTTCCAAACAAAATTCTGTCCATTCAAACATTGTTAAATAATTGATTAATTTCATTGTTCGACATTCATTCATTCACTCAACGATTATCAAAATATTTATCCTGACAAACAAACAAACTAGAAGAAAAAAACGATGATAATGATAAATGATGATAATGTAAAATAATAGAAGAAAAATGAATTCAACAAAATTTTCAAAATTAAACATCATCATAATGGAATAATAGAATTGGAACAACAACAACAAAAAGAATGACAAATTCTGCGCATTCAGAATATTTCTTTTTTTTTATATTCAAAAAAATTCTCTCATATAGGTGTACATTTTTAGGTAAAAGTTTTCGGTAAATTCTTCTCATTCGTTGTTCCTTTTCTTACCATTATCATCATCATCATTATCATTATTATTATTATTGTTTAATATTCTGGATAGAAGAAATATTCTTCATTGTTTTTTGTTTTTTTGTTTTGTTTCTCTGGGCAAACAATTTATTCAATTATATAATCATCAAACAAAAAACAAAAAACAAAACAAAAATAGAGAAGAAAATTCTTAGTTAAACATACACACACACACATCTATTTAAATGGAAAAAAACAAACAAAACAAAACAAAAAAAGTGAAAGGATTTTCAATTTTTCTTCTTCTTCATCTTATTCTGTGTTTTTGTTTGTGTTTCATTCATGCATGGCCATAAAAGAAAAAAATTTTTGTTTAACGAAAATCCTAGGTTAAATCTCCTGAGCATCATTATTATTATCAAAGTTTTTTTCTGTTTTGTTTTTAAACAAAACAAAACAAAAACTTTATTGTTTTTCTTAAAAAAAATTCTTGTTGTTTTAAGAAAACAAAAATTGTTGATCTTTTTTAGTTTACGAAAGTTTGTTTTTGTTTATTGATATTTTTATCTGTTTTTTGTGAAGAATAAAATTCCAATATCAGCAAGAGAGAGAGAGAGAGAGAGAGAGAGAGAGAGAGAGAGAGAGAGACAAAAACAACAAAAATATATTTTATAAAAAAAAAAAATATACAGAAANAAACACACAGTGAGAGAGAGAGAGAGAGAGAGAGAGAGAGAGAGACAAAAACCGCATAATGATATTTGATTCAAATGAAAAATTTAGGCAGAAAATTTCTTATTTTTTTTGTTTCCCGTTTTTCTTCATTCTTCTCCGAAACGATTCTCTCTTTTTTTCAAAAAAAATAGAAATAATCTTTTTTCCTTGAAAAATTGGTGTAATGAAAAACTTTCAAACAAAAAAAAATTTTATTTTACAATATGAAAAAAAACTTAAGACTTAAATATAACCGCTTGAATGAATGACACACTTTTAGATTCTTGTTTCTTGTTGGACCAATTACCGATTGATTGTGAGTGCGTGTGTGTGTGAAAATAAAAGGTACCATAATTCTTTCGGTAAATTTTTCTCCCAAAAAAAATATAAAATTCTTGGTATTTTTGTTGCTTTTGTTCTTGAAAATTTTCCCTATTTTTTTTCTTTGATCATCAATTCTCATTGACAAATTTATTTTATGGTCTTTTCTTTCACTCTCTCCCATACACACAAACACACATTTGTTCGCTTTTGCTATATAAATAATCCACAATTATTTTTGGTGGTGATTTTTTTTCTTTTCGGTTCGTTATCGTTAAATACAACAAAAAAAACACTTACCATAACATATGTTGAGAATAGCATAGGTATTGCAACAAATAGATCGGCAAATGCAAGACTTACAATAAACCAATTTGTAACCGTTTGTAGACTACGTTCACGATATACACTACAATTTGTAAATATTTTTTCAAGTTATAAAAAAAATATATGAAACTTTTTTTAAAAAAATAATACCTTGAAATAACAAGAAAATTTCCAAACAATGCTAAAATTGGTAATATAATCAATATTAATGCCCAATATACACGTTCATGTTCAAGAATTTCATCATTAATTTGATTATTGTTATTATTAATGATCATCATTGTTGTTGTTGTTGTTGTTGTCGTTAAATTCGTATAACCGGATATAATCGGTATTGATGTAACATTTTCGGACATTCGTAATAAACATGCGGCAGCATCGATCGTATCGATATTTCTATTCGTATCAGTTTCCGTCACTAAATTTGTACAATAATTTTTCCATAAATCATCACCACTATGATTGAATAAATTTCTCCAATCACTATCATCATTATTATTGTTATTATCATTTTTCATCACATTTGTAACTGTTGTTGTTGTTGTTGTTGGTTGCCATGTTGACCATTCATAATCAATAAAATCATCATTATTATCATCATTATTATGAAATGTTGATTCCATTGAATTGTTAAGATTCGATGTTTTCCATGATGATAATGATTCATGATTGATAATAAGACGATCATCTTGATTGTGCGATGCAGCAATTGATGAATGATATAATTTTTGTATCAATTTTTTCGAAGATAATGTTGTTTCCGGATGTATTTCCGTTGTTGTCGGCGATATGATTGTTTCATTATCAATAATTGATGATGATGATGATTTATTGAAATTTTGAGCAATATTTAATCTATTTTTATCGATCATCAATATTTTATCTTTTATAGTCGTTGAAATATCATTATTTTGATTATGATTATGATTATTATTGTTTGATCGATAATTTTTCGTAATAAAACTAATTAGAAAATTTTTTGTTGTCATTGGCGTTTTTGTTGATGTTGTATCGTTTTCCATTACCATCCCTGATGGTGTTGTCGATGTTGAAATATTATTGAATGGTTGCCATAGATTTATACTGATCGTATTCATATTGGACGTATTTTTATTTATCGTAATATTTTCATCATTATGATGATGATGATGATTATGATTATGATCATCATCAATTGAAATCAATGATGACCAATAATTTGATTTATTACCAATATGATCATCAACAACATTATTATCACTATTATGTATGGTCATTGATGATGATGACGAAGATGATGATATATTTTTATCATCATCAATCACAGATAATTTTGGTCTAGTCCAAAATGATAATGTTATATTTTGAAATATATTATGGCCTTCCATTTTTTATTGAATATTTTCAACTATATCTCGTTGTTGTCAAATCGATTAAATTAAAACAAAAAAATCAGGTAACAATCATTTCCATAAACTTTATATTTTGAATAACGTTGAACACGGACGGAACCATGTCTTTTTTCGAATGTTTTTTTGGTTGTCATTCATAAATTGCGTTATTGTTGTTATTCGAAAACGAATCTGTAATTTTATAACGAGAAAAAAACAAAAAAATGACAGATAAAACTTCAATAATAACCGTATAATAACCGTTAAATAAATAAAACTGAAACAACAAAACAAAACAGGAAAAAAAAATGTCGATAAAAAAACCAATAAAGAAAATGTTTGATCGAAATCAATTGGCGAAGTAAAAACAATAAAATCAATGGAAAAAAATGGCTAAGAAGATTTATTTTGGTTTTTATTTTTATTATTATTATTACGAGTTTCAAATCTTTAAACGTAACCTTTTGATTATATAGATTCTGTACAATTTTCTAGATTCTAGTGTTTGTTGTGTGTGTGCTAAGAATCTATCAAGAAGAAGAAGAACATCATCAACATCTCAAATGATAAATTGTAAAAGAAAACATTAAACAACAAACTGATAATGGCCACACTCTCAGTGTAAATAGTTTTCCTTACTTACTTACTTTCATTGATTTCACCCAAAAAAAAGTTAACCGAAAAAAATAAGAATTTTTTATTTTGGTTGCTTTACAAATGATGAAACAAAATGTGGATAAAGTGAAAAAGGAAAAATCTTTTTTTTCGAAAAAAAAGGAAAAACCACTTGAAACTGATCAACATTAATTTATTCATTTCGGTAGAATGCCGGGCTTCATTTTTATTTTGTTTTGTTTTGTTTGTTTTCGAATCTCAATAAATTCTGTATGATCATCATTTTATCATATTTTTCTTTCAAAAGATAACAACAACAAAAAGGTCAAGATTAGATTTCATGATTTTTTATTTATTTCATCAACACTTTTAGTAAACACAGTGGCAATCAATTATATGAATGTCAAGAATTCGTTTCTACTTTTTTTTTATCAAATGTGATGTGAATGTGAAAAAAGAAATTTTGTTGAAAAAAAACAGCAAAATTAAATTTAGTTTCAATTTCTTTATTCTTTGTTTTCTGTTTGGCGTAAATCCGTGTACAAGAATAATGAATTCTTTGGTTAAGTGTTTTGTTATCAAACATTACTGATTCTTTACTGAAAAAAAAAGAAAACAAAAACGAATCACTTTTATTTTTTTCAACTTTTATTTGAAATTTGCTTTATTTATTTATATAAATCAGAAATGTTTTAAAATGAAATTGAGTTTTTTATAATGATTTTTGATCAACAAAGAACAAAGATTCTTGTTGGTTGAAATTTTGAAAAAGTGAAAAAGAAACGTAATTGAGAATAAGATTCATTGATTGATCGATTCATTGTTCAATAATCTTTAGATTTTAATCTAAAAATTTAAATTCCAAAAATTTTTTTGTTTGTTTGTCCAACAATACTGGAATACGATCAAACTAAGCTAGACTAAATGAATCACATGACTAAATTTTTTCAAGTTCATTCGATTTGAATGTCATTATCATTATGCAATCGATGAATGAATGAATGAAGGACATTTAATAAATTTTTACCATAGAAAAACATGTATGAAGTGAAAATTATTATTATTATTATTGGGAAAACAAAACATAATCATAATCATCATTGTGATTCAACAGAATCGTCTTTTTCCCTTCACTTTCTGATAATTTATCTAGACATTTTTCTTTTCAATCTTGGCCACATATGACACGCGATGATGCCCATTGAAAAAAAAGCTTATTTGATTTTCAACAACAACGACAACAACAAACAAGAATTTACGAATGACAAACACCAAAATACAACAACAAAAGCTAAAAACATTGAAACACACACACATTTGAAGCCATAGATAGATCATTATTGCGTGCATGCCATCATGATATTCTTTTTTTTTTGGTGCACATCACCTTATCAATCAATGTCAATGTTTTGTTTTGTTTGGTTTGGTTTCGTGGTAAGAAATTTTCATTTCTTTTCTTTTTTCTGCCTTTAACGTTTAAAATGTCATTAGGAATATTATGAACATATTGTCATCATCAACAGCAGAATATTTATTATTCTGGGATTTTTCATTCTGTGGAAAAAAAAACAAATTAAAATATTCATTTTTCATCATGATCATCATTCATTATTATTGAAAATAATTTCAAAAAAAAAATTCAAATCATCATAATAATGAAAAATTTAATTAAGATTCGAGATTCTCATCTACAGAATGAATGGTTTAAAAACGTCTATCAAGTCAATGATAGAAAAATTCTTTAGATTTTTTTTTTCATCATCCTTTCCCCATCATCATTAATTTCATCAATTTAAAGGATTGAATATTTTTCATTTTATCAGATGATGGAAATGGCATTTTCAAGAAACAAAAATTCTTCCAAAATTTCAAAATTATCAAGATTCTCTTCTGCATCTCAAATATTAATCGAGAGAAAAATTATTGTTTTCCGTTGGTGGTGATTCAATCAATTAATTGATTTTTTCTGTGTTTGAAGCTAATTATTATGCAACAATATCTTGTGTGTTATAAATAAGTAATCAAGGAAAATAAAAAGTTTTCCTTAACTTTTTCTATAGAATTTCTGGAGAAAAAAAAATCAAAGTATTTGGAAATGAACAAACAACGAATACACACAAACAGTATAAATCTAATCGATTATATTTGTCATCTTAAATTGAATATTTTGTGGTGGGAAAACTATAGTTAGTTAGGGGAAACTAATGATGCAAGACACCTCTATATAAATTTATAAAGAAGATTTTATTCGGTTGAGAAAAAAAAGAAAGAGGAAAAAAAATTGTAACTTTTCTCTCTCCTGTTTTCCAACTACAACTTAGTTGAATTTAATGAAAAAACAATTATGGATAATAAGGAAGAAATTGTAGAAAGAGAGAAAGTAGAACAAAAAAAGTTTTTCACAACTTATGAAAGCCAGAATGAAGAAGAAGAAGAGAAAAATATTTGGTTTTTGCATTTCATTTCATGAAAATTTTTAGTTGCGCTTAATTTATTGAATCCACAACAACGATAACAACATTGGCGAAAAAAAAATAAAATCAAAAAGTCATCAAAGAAAAAAAAAATATTGCGGTCTCATTTTGGATGTTTTTAAAAAAAAGTTTTAAATTCCAAGTTTCAAACGAAAAAAAAACATTTATTCGATCCAATGATGGATGATGAATATCATTATCATCAACACCCAATGATAACTAATAATAATGAATGAATGAAAAGTATTTTTGAATATCAGAATATCTAGAACAAAAAAAAATTGGAATCCATAATAATGTAGAATTTGAAAATTTTGAATATAGAAGCCATATCAAGAATCAAACAAAAAAAAACCGTTGATGATGATGTGAAAAAGGAAATTTGTTTTTTTTTTTTTTTTGGTAGCAAAAATTTTTAATGAAAAAATCATTTTTTGATGAACAAAAAAAATATCAATTTTATATTGATATTACACTATGTGTATCATATCCGAATCTATGAATTTTGACATTATTTTTTGTTCTGTTGAAAGCTTTTTGTTTGTTTCTTCTTCTTTTGACAAACACAAACTTTCATGGTATAAATCAGAAAAAAAAATTCAGCAATAATTCATTATTTTGATTCTATTTTGATTATCTTCTCTTTTTTTTCGTTTAGCTTGGATACATTTGCAGAAAAAAATATATAACGACAGAGTGGAACAAAAAATGTCATTGAAAAACAAAGTGTATATATACAAAGTTACTATTTTGTTTGTTTATTTTCATGCATATTTCATTCAATGATGATCTTGACAACTACAAACTAAACCAACCGAATAAATAGGAAACAAACAAAAAAAACTGTACTGAATTGTTCGATATCAAGATAATATTTTGTTTTTCTAGTACAGAATGATAAGTGAAAAAAATACAAAATGTTAATGTGCACATATAGAAGTATAGAAATATCCTCTCGATCGAATGCAAATCTTTCCATTTTTTTCTCTCTTTCAAAATGTTTCATATTTCTTTTTAGTTTTCCTTGTTGTTGTTGTTGATTTTGGGTTTCGATTGTCGATTGATAATAATAACTAATGTAAAGTATAGAAAAAAATGATGATGATAATTTATTATCCAAATCAAATTCAGATTGAATGAATGAATGAATGAATGAATGAATGAATAAATGAATGAACGTGACAATTACACACACACACCCACACTGAAACAGTGATGGAATAAAGATGGAAACATTATGCAATAAAATATGGAATTTGCAAATGATTGACAGGTTTTTTTATGTGTTTTACAGAATGGAAACATTTTCGTTTTTACTTTGAAACGTTAGAAATAAATAAATAAATCACCCAAAACAAAAAAAGCAAAATAAAAATAATCCGATTGAATGGCAGAATTCACGAGAAAAAGGGAAATAAAAATCATTTTCCATATAATAACGAATTAGCATCACATAAGAACGAAAGATAGAAGAGAAAAAAAAATGAAAATCATATTTATTCAATTGATCAGAATATGTACTTTTTTCTGTATTTAATTCAAAATGTTTGTTACGAATTCCTTGAATATCGATTCTGCTTATTCTGCGACTGCCAGAATACACACATATTGTTGATTTGCAAAAGAAAATTAGTTACAATATCTTTGATGATTATGATGGTAAAATAGTGACAATACAATGTTGTCGATGCTTAAAATCGATGATGATGTTTGTTATTGT